TGTGTTACAGTTTTATAAAACTGGTTCATTTATTCCAGAAATATTTGAAATATATTTAGGAGCCACTTTGAAGAAATGTTTGTGTCTCTAAAACATTATGGAAAGTCATCCATTCTAAGTTTCAAACACTAACAACCTGAATTGGTTTCAATAAGACAGAATCAATATGTCAAGTTCCTTGATTTGGTGTCATTTGTAGTGTTTAAAGGTTCAGTCCATAGGACCGCAAAAAACCGGTGGACCGAACTGAACTGGACCATGGACCGGTCTTTTTTTCGGTTGCAGTTGCCCCAATTTGGGGTTGGTCTGGTTGCCGGTTGCCTCATTTCGAAAATCTTTTAAAACCGTTCAAAGACCGGTTTTAATCGGTTGCAACCGGTTAAACGGTCACGTGCGTTACATAGCCTTGTAACCACGTTTATTGCCTTTTATTGGGTTTTTGTTTCATCAAAAACGGTTAAGAATTGAGAAAGATATAACCAAATCCATATTTTACCCGAGTCTCTATGAGATGTAATTCAGTTTCAGTCATAGCTATGTCAAATCTTCATTAAATCTCTTGAAAATTGGTAGAATGATGGGTATTTATATGCTTTACTATTTTATATAACCCGTTTATTTTTCAGAGTAATAATGGTTGAGATACAAATGGTTTATATTGGTATAATAAATTATAGGCAAAAAAACCGGTCTGGATCGGTCTGAACCAGTATCATGGACTGCAAAAGACCGGTCCTAGGTGGTTCGGTTCGGTTCCCTCAATATCTGGGTCGGCCCTGGACCGGTTGCGGTCCACGGTTGCGCGTTTTCAGGGCAAAAAACCGGACTGAACTGAACCTTTAAACACTACCTGGAGGTGCTACACCTCCTTGCCTTGGAAGAAGAGGAGGATATGGTAGAAGATGAGGATCAAATACACCAAGCTGCACTAACTGGGGCTTTGATTTATTTAGGTGCAGAAGAATCACGCAAACAGCGTGGTGCAAGGCGACAGCACTTGTACCTTGTGCAGAATGAGCTCCTTCCAAATCCATGTGTTGGGACACCCTGGCAGCGCTTATTGGACAGCTGAAGTGACTGTGCCTACATCACCACCATGGGTATGAATGTCAGCACCTTCACATATATACTTGACTCTGGATTCACTGAACACTGGAACACTACACCCATCCCATGTGCAGATTGTCCAGGGACAGCTGTTCCACACCTAAATAGCCGTTCCCTCGACGCCGCTGGTGCCCTCGGATTAATTCTCCACTACCTTAACTCCACCATGCGCAAAGTCAGCTTAATGCAAATCTTTGCACTCATCCCAAGCACTGTGTCCTGATATGCCACCTTTACCCTCACCATTCTCCTTTCTGCCCTTCGAGTTATACCAGAGTCTGAGGTTTGATGGCTTGGCTTATAGGGATGAATTCCAGTCAAACAATGACTTGATCATTGCACAACATAATCTTCTGACTGGTGCCTTTGGGAGCATGGATGGACTGAATCTGGCAGTCCAAACATCTACCAATCAGGAGATAGAGAACGCGACATTCAATGGCTGGCTACATGACCATTTCGTAAGTTCTGTTTTGGCTTTTGGTGCATTGGGTAAGTCTTTTACTTGGCTTAAGCTGGTAGCATGTTTATTCAAACAGTGACAGGAGTAATTATTGCATGCAAGCTCAATGTGCCTGGAAGCTGGCATGACTCCCAAGTTGCCCGCCCCATTTATGAAAAGCTACGCACTGAAACCCCTGAGGGGTATTATCTTGTCACAGACACGGCATTCCCAAGGGGAACCGATCAAATTAAAGGTAGAATCAAAGTGCCAATGAAGGATAGAACACAGCTCCCTGCAGACCCCGTCACTAGAAAGGCTGCAATGGCTTTTGACCGACAACTATTGTCTTATTGACAGACAGCGGAGTGGGGTATGCGAGCGGTTCAAGGTTCATTTGGATGGCTGTGTGTCCCCCTTGAAATTAACTTCGAGGCTCGACAATGGGATCTTCTTGAGACTGTGGTACATCTCTACCAAATCTGGACACAGCTTGTCGGTATCAATCAAATATGGAAACATTCTGAGAAGGCCGATCTGGAGTGAGGGTGAGGGTGATACCTCCATTATTGCTAGATTCCATGGAGGCAGTTCCAAAAAAGATTTCCGCACCTGGAAGTGGAGTGGACAACAACGATCTTGCACTGGGTTGGACAGGGCTAGGGCTGGGATCAAATGTCACAACACGAGTTCCCGGAGATGGTGTGGCATCCTGGAGCCTGGCTCTAGGATTGATGTTGTTGTCATCATCGCTACCCCCAACCCAAGTGACCTGTTTCCCACCAAGCGACTACGACCGCGCTCACCAGAAATCATTGACATTAGCTCTGCACGATCAGCGTGACGCTCAGCGGCATGGCATTCACGATCCGCCTCCTGCAAGCGGTTGCGTAGGCTCTCAATGGTTGCTTGTGCATCTCGAATTTGCTGTGACATCATGAGGAGTTGAGTGGTGTGCATGGCTCGAGAGGAACGGTCATCCTCACACGCAGTCTGAGCAGTGGGGTTGAGTGCAGAGGAGATGGTGGACAGGAGATCTTGCACATCATTTCTGGATGTGCGTGAACAAGGAGGAGGAGGGATCACACGATCAATGACGGGGCGGCATACAACAGGACCATTGGGCTCCTTTTTGACTTGAATGGCAGGAGTAGCGGTGCGGTTGGTATTACACACAGGTTGTGTGATAGCAGGGGTTCGAGGTGGAACAGTTTCTTCTTCTTCTTCGTCATCACTAAGAAATACCCAGTGAGTGAGCTGCAAAATGACCAAAAGACTTATCCACACACCTAATTTCAATTGGGTCCTCATACGCATCAACAATGTCGGCATCATCTAGCTCCCATGTACCAGCTTTCTCATTTATCTGATCCTCAATGAAATGGGCACATTCGATATGTGGTGGGCATTCCGCATCACCTGTTGGTTTACTGGTACGAACAAACTAAAGATGACAAATGTTAGCAATATTGTTAAAAAGCGAATAACTGACTTACTTGTTTGAATTTAGCCTTGAGCGATTTGGCGGTGCGCACAGGGCAGCTGTTTTCCTCAGCCCACTGGGCAAATTCATCTGCAGCACTATTCCATGCATGTCCACCAATAGGAAGCCAATCTTCAATAATATCAAGCAAGCCGTCAACGTCTTTGGTGGAGTAGTTGGCAACCCCAGGACCTCAACCACGTCGCTTCTTGGTGTCAGGTTCCTCCAAACGCATGACAGACCCTTTGCGCTTTGACTATCCAGCAACAGGGATTGGATCAATGGCCCTTTGCTTGCCTTTAGCTGCAGAGGTCAAGGGGCGACGGCTACCAGCAATTTTTGATGCTGGATGTGCGATATGTGGTAGGATTCGGCTTGGTGGTGGGAAGTCATCTGGGCCATTGTTTGGAAGGCTGACCAATGCAGGATCAATCTGAGGGGTGTTCGATGGGGCTGATGTTGATGGTGGGTACTGGCCAGGTGGAAACGGAGAGTCGTTGGGCCACAAGTGGGTTGAACGGAAAACTAAATGAGTGTGAGTAACACAGGGAAATTTTTGTGGCATAGACTTACTTGTCCCGTCGTATCCCGGACCATCAGATTGGTATTAATCTGAACACGAGTTAGGTGTGGGGGAGGCTCCATAAATAACATATACATACCGAAGGGCCAGATGGACGTGGTGAGGCAACACACTGCCAAGAACCATTGCCAGAGTGTGTGTACTTGAGCCCTGTTGCAGGATCAGACCAAGTTTGGAGAGCTTCAGACAACATGTTAGAGATGAAGAGAGGGGACTTCGAAATCCTGACTTGATGACAACCACATACCTCTCTTTTTATAGCACACCTGCCAGCTAGCTTAGATCTCCCACAACATTGAAATCTCTTGATTATACAGGAGCCACTGTGCCAAGTCAGTCAACCAGAGACCAGGAATCAATGTCAACACTCAGCTACTCACTCAAATTGACAAAAGAGACCAAAGGTACCATTTATCTTGTGCAAATTTGCAAAGCTGGAAGCTGATCAATGAAGGGACACCAAGTCAGTGGAATGCAAATCTACCTTGGTATCCTTGAACATGCATTGCCCAGGTCCACGTCAAATGATTTATAGTGCTTTCACCGCGATCAGAACGATGACAGAGATGAATTGGGGCAAGAGCAGGGAATGTGTAACCACTTACCTACATAACAGCCTACATACACATGGTCAAACAAATGACAGCAGCACTTACTTAGAAGCAGCGCACTTGGTGCTGAGCACTCCGCCGCGTAGTAGAGAGTAGTATTAAATCTTATCAGTGGAATGTCAATGTTGCAGAGATTTAAATTCATTTCAGAAATGTCTGAAGATGAGTCTGGAGCTGGAAGGGGGGGGGTAGAGGCCTCATCCAGATTCAAATCTGGAAGAGGGTTGGGTTGAATGCCCATCCGTTCAAGAAATATATTTTGATGGGACCTGCACATCGGCATCTCAGCTTGGGCAGTTTGAAGATAAATCTGGATCTGAAATCATCTTCAAATGTTATGGAAAGTCATCCAATATATGTTTTTCACATATGATTATTCATCCACACCAATTTATAGAATAAACAGACAAGCTTTGCTGAAGTTTTACTGAAGGTGTATCAAGGAATCATACTGTATCAAGGACTGCTACTACACTGTATTGGGTATGAAAACTGAAAATGCCTTTTTGTGACTTATATAGGCACACTGATATATTTTTGCACTTCTCCCGCCTCTTGAAAACCAAAAATGCGATATGTTTTTTTTTGTAGTTGCCTTTTTCGGTCTGACATTTCCTTTTTAGGAAGGAGGGGTGGGGGGGTGGTCATGTCCCATGGCTTAAAAATTTTAACCGACCCCATGTAATTTTTAAGGTCCTTGGGCCCCCTTGTTGGGAATCCACCTTCTTGCATGTTGTAAGTCAGCTGGAGGCTCTTCGGTTGGAGGCGATGATGTGCTGACTGAGGATTATGGACTGCACAGGACAGTGGTACCCTGGACCATCCGCCTTCCCGTCGTATGAGCGATAGCAAGAAGCAAGCATAACGAGAACTATTGAGAATCCAACGGAATCTACCGACTCTACATGGGCACATGGTGTAGTTGGTTATCACGCCCGCTTAGCATGTTGTAAAAGATGATTAGTTTCTGCGGGCGGTCCCCGGTTCAATTCCGGGTGTGTCCACTGCAGCACTCCATAGTTGGTCTTTTTTTGGAGTCCCAACAATATGTTCACACTTTTCCTGAGCTTTCACCTCACTCACCTCTTCCTTCCTCCTTTCAAACCTCTGGTCAAAACAAATTCCATGATATATACACAAATTTCTTTTCATACTCACATCATTCGTGTGGTCCAGGGTATGTACAAAGGGTTTGAAGTACTAGAGTCTAGAATGATACAGAGGGGTCGAGGGATGATGAGGGGATACAAGGACGATTGGTATGGGATGATTGAAAGGAATGAGGAGTATAGACGAGTACAAAGGAAGGACCGGGATGGAATACAAGTATGGTACAGTCAAGAAACTTGGAAAAGAAAAGGTATATGTAACTTGGAGTCATAGTCTATCTGCAGCTGCGTGGCTGGGAAGAGAATAGGGAATATAGGATGCACCAGGGCAGAGGACAGGATAGTCAAGAGAAAAGAGGGAGAGGGAACGAGAAGAGAGTAGAGAAAAGGCAGGGAGGAAAGAGGAGGGACGTTCCGTAGAAGAGAGAACCGAAGAGGAATCAAAACACTCGGTCCAAGGAAAGTCGACGTGTCCGCTAAAGTCAAGTCCAACAACCAACGGCCACCTCACTCCGCCCCCCACGCATTACCCCACCCATTCTCACTCCCCACAACACTCTCCTTATCATCATCGTCAAACGCCCTCATCTTCCCAAGCATGCTCTTCTCTCCCGCACTGACAACAACCTTCCCCCTCCCTCTCCCACCTCTTCCCCTCCCACCTCGCTTGCCACGCGGGACGGCCGAGAACCCATCTTCGTCCACGTCGTCATCAGCGGCTACGCTTCCCCCGCCATTGCTGCTTCCGTTATCGCCAACGCTTCGGTTGGTGGTGGAGGTGGTGTCACCCCATGCGTTGGTGGTGGTATTGCTGCTGCTGCGGCCTTTGCCTCTGCCTATAAAAAGGGAGAAAGGCTCAGCGTCCATGCGAAACGAAAACGCGAGAAGGGAAAGGCAGACGGAAAAGCCGCGAAAACGTAAACAGAACAAGCGAAGACGTGAGAACGCAAAAAACAAAAGACGAACTAAAACGCGGAGACCAAAACGGGGGAAGCAAAGTCGCGAGAAGGAAAGACGCGAAAAACCAAATCACGAAAGCAGAAACGGGGACAGAAACCACGAAGAGGAAAGAAAGCCATGAAAAGCTAAACCTGTAACAAAAAAGAGCGCGAAATCAAAGTGGAAAAGGCAAAAGGCAACCAAACGAACACACAGCGAAAAGAAAAACCCACCTCGCCTGCCACCCCCACCCCTCTCACCCTCCCTCTTCCTCCTCTCCTCCTCCCTCACAAGTTTCGACATCTCACTACATATCCCCTTCTTACACAACTTCCCATGGCTCGGACACATCAACTGACCCGCATTCGGGTCCGGAGGCGGCTCGTCGCTCCATAGGTTCACTTCCTTCCCTTCTTGTCCCCCTTGTCCTTCACTGGAACCCCACAAATCGGCGGTGTGGAGGGGTAGAGAGGTCTTCTCCCACGGCGCTACATAAGCCAACTCCATCTCGTCCGGGTTCATCGTCGTAAGATCGTCCTCGTCGTCGGAGCCTCCGAGGCCGTATAGGTTCTTTTCTTGGGATGGGGAGAGGGAGATGAGGACGTCGCCTTCTTTTAGGCGCTCGATTGGGTTGGATGGCGTGGTGGTTGGTTGGTTGTCCCACCCGGAGTCGTTGGTAGGAGTGGCGCTGGTGGGAGTGGGTCCTGGAGTGTTGGTTGAGGTGGGCTTGTTGGTATCTTGCTTGACCCCTTCAAATAGACGTAGAATCAATCGCGTCGGAGACAAGAAAGTGCGAAAACTCACAAACGTTACCCGTCCTAGGCGCAACGGGACCCCAAGGCGAGTTGGGCGGTCGAGTGGCAACGGGGGAAGTGTTGGGTTTACCACCTGGAAGCGGAGGTCCCCACGCATTGCCACCGCCGTTGCTTTTAGCGGGAGAAATCACGCTGGGGGGAGCTGACTTCCCCATAATTGGTTTATCCCCTACGTAACGCAATTAGCGCCCATCGCATTTCCTAACGTGAAAACTCACATCCCGTCGCAGGCGTCGTTTTTACACCCACATTCCCACTGGCCTGCTTCTTCGCCCACGCACCCGTAAGTGCTTTGGGGGTATTCGCCGACGGCCCATTCTTCGTGTCAACCCACGTAGACGACCCGACGACGGGCGCGGGTGCTTTAGGTGGGGGAGGTTTGACTTTGACGGGGAGATGTCGACAGAGGGGTTTGTTGGTTTTATCTTCGGGTGGGACGGGGCACCAGTGCGTGGTTGGGTACGGTTTGTGGATTACGCTGGGGTGTATGTTAGCTAGTGGATAGAAATGAAAAGGGAACGGAACGTACCCGTTATTCGGACTCCAATCTTTGAACCAGTGGCTTTCTACGTGTATGCGCTTCCATCCTACGTACGTACGTAAGTCTCGTCGTAGCAAAAAATAAAGACAACAGCAAACGTACCGTCTTTCTGTGCCGCTCGCCCTGTATCGTACAAACAATAGAAGATCTGCGAAATCCGTTCCTTTTCATCCGCCCTTGGGTTCTTCAAGAACTCGATCCAGCGGTGTTCGCCGAGAAGGCGTTCGTGCTCCGGATAGGCTTTGTCGATCTCCAGTAGCACCATCCCACGTGCCTATCATGAATTCATTCAGCTATCACCCACTTGTAAGCAAACGAGGAAAGGGGAGACTCGCCTTGGGCTTGTAGTGTAACCCCAATAACGGCTCCACGCCAATACACCCCGCGATCCAGAACGAAAAGGCGATAACGTCGCTTGGAAGTTCCCAATTGGCGTTCATCGGGTACGGCTGGTACACCGTCATGTATCGAGCATCGTCCGTTGCGTCGGGCGATTTGGCGCGTTTGACCATCGTGCTTCAAGTTTGGAGTGGCGAGTTGTGAGGAAAGAAGTCAAGGGGCGTTGTTTGGTCCCATGTAAACTTATATTGCGAGTCACGTTACTCGTGCGCGTAGTCGTCAGGGAAGACGGGATCCAACTATCATCGCCGGGAACGTTGTTTCAACGTGTCAACGACGTGAGGCGAGACGTTGGCGCTCATGTGGAGATCGAGTGGCGAGGTGTGAAGGTCAAGTGAATGATCCTTTGACCAACAGACGTTGAGGAAATTTTTGTATTTTTTTTTTTCCGTTTCATAAAAAAAAAAACACGAGTGATGTGATTATGGAAAGAAATTTGTGGAATTTGATTAGAGGTTTGAGGGGGGGAAGGAAAAGGTGACTGGAGCTGAAGCTCAAGAAAAGTGTGAAGATGATTCAAAAAAAGAATATCAGCGTGTAGTGATGGACACACCCGGAATTGAACCGGGGACCGCCCGCATAACACACTAATATCACTTTTGAGATTCCGCCGAAAACCTTATTGCTCGAAATGGTAAAACGTCACATGACCTGGGGAAACTCGACGCGAAACAAACAAATGATCTTTCTGCCACCACTGACCAGCTCTCAAACTCCCCCGCCAATGTCGCAAGCCCTGCAACTCAAGACCACTCCGGCGTTGGTATCACAAACGGAAATACCGCCCCGACCACACAAAGCACACCCAGCGAGGGCACGAAGGTGAGCCCAACAACGACAAGTGCCCGGCGCCGACAGTACAATGAAAGCCGCCAACGGTGAAGCACAAGCAAGCCACGGCCTACGAGCATGACACCACTTAGGCATGGCCCCATCCACACGAGCCCGACGCCAACGGCAAACATCCCTCGGGTGGATTTCAGGGCGGGGGAATATCCAAGCGACCCACGACACGGAGCTTCGCTCCTCACATCATCGCTCATCTGCAAGCGCCTGACGCAACTCTCATCCGCGCGAGTCCCACACCAACGACAAACATACGGGGTAGATTTCAGGGCGGGATGCAGATAGCAGGGCGCGAAACGACACCTCCAGGTGGGCGCGATTGTTAGTTGCCACTGATTACTTACCCACTGTCCCAAAAGGTGTATTAGTATCAATATATACGGCTTTGCTTTAGTTGGCATCATAGAACTTAGGGTGCATTTACTATATATTCTGTCCATTGAGCAATTCCCTCCTGAAATGCAAAACCAAGGACTTAGTAACTTCCGCGAGTTCGCGACCGCGCCTTGTTTCCGGCATCACATGATATCGCTCCTTTTTAAGAATAAGGTTTTCGGCGGAAAGTGAACAACTCACTAATATGTCGTCCTCACGATGCTAAGCGGGCGTGATAACCAACTACACCATGTGCCCATGTAGAGTGGATAGATTCCGTTAATTGTTCAGAGTTCTCGTTACGTCTGCTTCTCCAGGTGATGCCTGCTTTCGAAAACTGAAATGTATCCATTCATATTGAGAGCTAGACTAAAATGCATCCATTCATATCGAGAGCTAGAAGAAAAAAACTAGATGTACAATGTCCTTCAAGATGAAAACCATTCAATCGGAATACACAATCTTCGCAGCGCTTCGTTTCTCCACACCCTGATTTCAGATACATTGTTAGACTCGACATAAGAAAGTGAAAGAGGAACTTACATGCTCCTTCCACGCGAGCTGCGCCTTCAACTCCGTACCACCGAACAACATGATCAACTCATAGTCTACCTTGTAATAGGTCGAATTGCTGGCGTTCACATTCTTGGGAGAAGGCTTCAGATGTGAGAGGTCCACTTCGATTGTACACAATTGGGAATAGAGGGCTAACATGTCCCTGGGGTCAGCAAAAGGTGAGCGGACAGCGGACAGCCCACGTACATGTATTTACATCCATAAAAGCCGCATCCGACACGGTTCCCTTGTATCCCCAAACTGCTGTCGAAGCAGTTGACAACCCACTCAAGTTGTCAAACTCCCAATAATGGGCTCGTCTAAACTCTTTCGTTTCGGATACTTGAGTGTTCTACGGAAAGCGTGAGAAAGTCGGAGGAGGAAGGATTTATACGTTCATGACGTACGGTTGGCAATAAAACCCAAAAAATACCGCCCAAACGCTTGATACCGGAAATAGAAGTCAAAACCAAGTGGGAGCGTTTCGCATGCTCGGAATTCGAAGGATCATAGTTAATTCCACCACGGCTACCATATGTGATCTTTGATACTCGAGTCTTGACGTGGTGGTCGATGTAGTAAGAGAGCGCACCGTCAGCTACGGCTTTGTTACTGTATTTTCTTCAGCTTTAATGAAATATCTCTTCATGAAAATGACATACACGTGGTTATCGGGCCGAATGACGGTGAAGCCGTCAGGCTTCAACCGTTCCGAAACTTTGGTGTACAGCCAGTCGCTTGCGGCAAAGCCTCCGACCAAAATCACGTTCTATTTCACAGTGATATTAGAGAATTTCCAAAGGAAGGTGTATTCTGCTCACTGAAAACTTCTTGTGACCTGTCCTGCGCTGCTCACGCACAGAGTCGACGATACATTTGATAGAAGGTTCAAAGAATTCCGCCACCTCAGCCCTAAACGAATGATGAGAAAAATTCAAGAGCCAAAAGAATCCGAACACACCCTGTCAACTTCAGCTGGCCGTAGCGAATGTTGCAGTCAGGTTCATTGTCGCGGGTGCCACCGAATCTGATGAACTGGGGCTCCTCTGCATTTCGGAAGCGCAACTTGGTCGTCTTGTCGAAACAGCGAACAATGTGGTCGAGATCGTCCAAAAAGGTCGATTCGGCAAGGAGCTCTAAGGTAACATGTAAATTATCATACGCTGATGATCTATACCGCATGACTTACTTTCCAAAGAGAGGCGGGCATGGATACTGACGAAAATAGAGCCGTGGAAATGACCTTACGAAAATGGTCGAATAAATCAGCAGCGATAAGGCAGCACTACTCACATTGGGGCGCTGCAATCTCATCAAAGGAGGTTGATACGTTCGGGTTACGAGCATACGCGCTGATGTCGATGGTTCCCCCTCCGGCATCCACGATCACAACTCCATCACCTTCCTGATAAGCGCTCAGCACCAGTGAGACTGAAAACAAAAGGTGGTTGTCCTTACCTTGAGAGCGCTCGAAGGAAGGCCATTGCGTATCGAAAAATGAAGACTGGCTTCTCCCTCTGTCACAAAAGCAATTCGATCATAGCCTCCCTGGTTGTCAGGGATAAGGCCTGCTAACGCCGCCGCCTTGCGCATCTGCGTTTGCTGCGCACCTTCCCATCCATTCGGATGAGATAACACAAATTCAATATCCTTCTCGACCGATTGCCACAAATCAACACCATTAGCATGTGTCTCTTCGATGTACGTCCGGGCGCACTTGAATAGATAGCGTAGGAAATCGGCGAAGACGTCAAGGACACCTTTACCAGGGGGTAGAGGAGGAAGCTGGCCAGTGATCTCTTGGGTTGCGTTGCTTCTGGGACGGAGATGGAGCTTGAACCTGTGGGTGGTTTAGTAAAGGAGCAGACTCGAGAACTTGACCCAAACCATTCGGCTTTTATCCAATCTTCATCCTCTGCAGTCTCGTAAATCCCTTCCTGCATGGCCTCAGCGCCCATAGCTCTAGCCCTCCCATTCGTGTCATAGTAAATGATGGTCGGTATCTTCGATGATCCATTGACTTGATCCTGCGCCGGGAATCTAGCAAAAGGAGAGGTCAAGTTAGACGATATCGATCTTCCAAAAGTCCAAAACTATCACAACGCACTTTGTTACACCTTTGATCTCTGGTACTTGTCCGGGATCCAGAATACTGTACAGGCGCTAATTAGAGACGTGAGGTGAGTCAGATATCTGGGACATACCTGTAAGATATGCCGCTGTACGTTGTACCAACGTCAAACGCTATAGCAAGCTTACGACGAGTTCCAGCATAGGGGGCACGCGTGGTGGACATGTGGGGTGCAAGGGAAAGAGGGTCAGCGTGCTGTGCATCGTGTTCGCAGCCGTTTTGTCTGCAGCGCTTATAGTCACGTGAAGACCATCAAACGCACTGCAATTTAAATTGAGGTAAGTAAAGGGTCCTGTCGTTCCTGAAATCGGCAGTCGCTGAGCTAACTCCTCTGTCGTGAGGTGATTGAATGAAGGCTTTGTGAAGGCTGTGAAATCATTTCGAGGACATACATGCCAAGGCAACGTTGCAGCAGGTAACTTTCTGCCAGACGTTGACCAGACGACTGATCGAACACAAATTTTGGTTTGACTGCGTGCTGTGAATTGAATGCGCTTTCTGATAAGAAATGTTCTCAGCATCTTGGGTCAGGTCAGCCGAAAATTGAAGTATTAGGAGAGGGAACGTTACCGTACGCTAAGTAAGATGGGAGTGATCAGAACTGGAAGCGAGTTTCATGAAGTACATGCGAGCTTCAAAGGATTTCGAACAATGGCAGGGGGGTGTAGAGCTATTGGATTCGGATTCGTTGAAGACGGGATGCAAACGGAATCAAAACGGAATGAGGGGGACACAATTTTACCGGCCCGGGATTCGGATTAACACTCAATTAATACAGGCAGGGATTTTTGTTCTACAAAAACAGAAAAGTGGACGTCTTGGACTGCCTCGCAGGAAAATCTTACCTTTTCCTATACAGTTGTAAATTTCTACTTCGCTGCGTAGCGGCTCTGAATCTTCGAGTACGTTTTGACGTCGTATTGCATTACACTTCCCGTAATTTTGCGTTAAATTTTGACTAAACTCAAGAGGGATATCCTTGCAGCTGTATGTATGTACGAAATTCATAAGCATTGCTGAACAACAGTCGTCGAGCTACATGCCATGGGAAGTGACTCCAAAAATAGAAGTGGCGTGCTTGGTGGCTGTGTGCGTCTCTGATCCCCCCTTTCGTGAGACTGACTAGGACTATGATCAGGTGAATGGTCCAGTCACCAAACCCCTTCACGATTGCACTTACAACCGTAAAGTCCATTTCAAAGCGATAAACGCTCTGAATTTCAACGGGAAATTGCAGAGCGTGAGCATATTATATCGATATTATGATTATCTCGAACTTATTGCGATCGGCAGGGCCCAAATTCCCACTCAGTGATCAACCTCCTAAGGCTTCCTCAGGTTCAGTACTTACTCGTCGAGCGCTTTGTACTCGCCACGATCTGACGGCATCGATCACACGCTTCTACAGGTCAGAATTGCCTCTGAGTGGCAATTCCCCATCTGTTTGCACCGCCTCACTTAATAACAGCAGCCTTGGCAGTGCTCCCCCTTTGAGTCTTTGACGCTAAATTATAAGACCAAGCTACCAATTGCTGAACCACACTATCATGCCCTCTCGTACTCCGTATCGTGGATCCCTGCGGCGGAAGCTGGTTCTAGCCTTCGATGTTGGTACAACGTACAGTGGGATATCGTATAGGTGCGTGCCACTGGGAATGTTTTGGGGATTCACAGACTTATCTCTCAATCCAGCGTCCTCGACCCCGGACAGGTTCCGGAAGTGAAAGAAGTAACAAGGTAAGCTCGTTGAGAGGAAGGTTAGGAGCGCCCAACTGACTCCAGCTAGGTTCCCAGCCAACGAACTTATCAGCGGGGCATCCAAGATACCTACTGTCATTTACTATGATCGAGAGGGCAAAGTTCGGGCCGTTGGTGCAGAGGCGTTACAGGAAGGTATCTTCGAGACAGCTGAGGAGGAGAATTGGATCAAGGCAGAATGGTCAGTCATCCGGAAACGCCTCTCGCCACAAAGAGATCTTCATCTTTCATAGGTTCAAACTTCATCTACGACCCAAGACAGACACCTCGCGTAACATTGCGAACCAGATCCCCCCTCTCCCCTTGAACAAGACTATCGTTGACGTCTTGGCTGACTTCCTCAAATATCTCTTCAAATGCGCTTCGACATTCATTCAAGACACACATGCCAACGGCCCTGATCTCTGGGCCTCTGTTGAGAAAGAAATCGACTTTGTGCTATCTCACCCCAACGGATGGGAGGGCATCCAACAGTCGCAGATGAAGAAAGCGGCTGTACTTGCGGGACTTATCCCCGACACGAAGTTGGGCCATTCACGAATTTCTTTTGTTACAGAGGGCGAGGCCAGCCTTCACTTCGCCATTCAAAATGGTTTGCCCGAGGGGGCGCTGAAGGTGAGCTGACTTTCCCTGATTCGGTGTGGATGGAGGTCTGATGAGGGGTGTTTTGGTAGAAAGGGGATGGTGTGGTTATCGTTGACGCCGGAGGAGGAACCATCGATATCAGTGTGTATAGCCGAAATTTAAAAACGGCAAAGGACGCATACGAAGAAATTGCCGCTCCTCAATGTACAACTATTATTTCTTTGCTCCCGTCACAATCAACTGATATGCGCATGTTAAGGTCATTTCCATGGTTCCGTCTTTGTTAGCATTCACGCCCGCCTTTTCCTCGAAGGCATGTCATTCCAAATTCACATCGCCCTTTATTAATGCTCTAGGCAGAGCACCTCGCTGAATCGATATTCAACGAAGACCTCGATCACATCGTCCAATGTTTTGACAAAGCGACAAAGCTGCGCTTCCGAAACATGGAAGAATCGCAATACATCAAGTTCGGTTCTACCAGAGATAACGACGAGGCGGTCGGCATTAGGTTTGGTCAATTGAAATTGAAAGGGTGGGTTGTGATCACCACACCCCAGTATACGTGAGCGGCTCATTTTGTGGCAACTTTAGATCGGAGGTTGCCGCATTCTTCGAACCCTCCGTCAAGTGTATCGTCAACGCTGTTGTGGAACAGCGAAAATCGGCGCACAAAGGAATTTCGGTGTGTCCTCTTCATCATTCATGCCCAATGATACCAATATTCCCGCAGCATGTCGTTCTAGTGGGAGGATTTTCCGCAAGTGATTGGCTATTCGACAAAGTTCACGAGGCTCTCAAACCCATGGGATTAAATGTCATACGCCCTGCAAACCACGTGTAAGCGATTTTTGAAACTCTCCTCCTTTTAGGTCAAGTTCATGACCCTCTCACAGAAATAAAGCAGTCTCAAACGGCGCTATTTCGTTCTATCTGGACCACTTCGTTAAAACCCGTGTATCGAAAGTGACATATGGGTACTTCTGTCACATCCCTTACGACCTGAGTGATCAGGACCATGTGGACCGTGTTGGGGATTCCTTCGTTAGCATCGCTGGCGAAAAGAGGCTCAGTCACTCGTTCGATGTCATTTTGCCCAAAGTATGTATACGTCCGATAAATCTTTTTTATTTTTCCTATTCTCTATTTTTGTTAGAACACTCAAGTAACAGAAAGCAAAGAATTCCGGAGGTCTTATTTCAAAGATTCCACTTCGCCGACGGAGGGCTTCAAAGATTTCAGTTGCCCAATTAATTGTTATCGTGGCACCAATCCTACTCCAAAGTGGAAGAACGTCGACTCAGGTAAGTCACCCTTTATCTTCCCCTTCATGAATCATCCTCAACGAGTTTTCTAAAAATACGTCTAGACAATTATACGCAGATTTGTAGTATCAAAGCGGACTTATCACACATCGTAACTCCCCAATCGAAAGTTGATGGGAAATATTACCATATTGACTTTGATATCATCTTGCTATTCGGATTAACGGAATTGAAAGCCCAAGTATCGTGGCTAGAGAAGGTGCGCATCGCACCATTATCGACGCAACGCCATTGCTGATGTATATCTTGCGCTGTCTAGGGTGTTGAGAAGCGGTCTGTTTAATTTTCTTCCTTCTAAACTTGAGAGTGGGCATTGACTTAATTGTAGGACCGCCGCGGAAATATTCTACGACCCAGACATTACACAGGATTGATCAGGTCTTTTTCTTGCCGTTTTGTTTGTCGGACGTTGTACAATTTTTAGAGGACAATTCGGGTGTCTGTCTTTTTGAAGCTTTTTGAATGTGCCGCCTCCAAGCCTTCACCGGTACCCATCGACTGTACTTAGATTATGATTGAACCAAGATTGAACACCCACTCAAGTAGGAGCGGCTCAGCGCCAACTCAGCGCATCGGTAGTACTATGTACCACCTTAGTCGCGAGTGGATTCTAGCAGGAACGTCCAAGAAAGATTGTCTTCCAGTATTAAGAGAGTTATCATCGTGGGAAATAACGATCTTGTTTTGTTGTCAGGTGACTCAGGTCATAACCACTTGCATGATGATGAACCTTCCCATATCGTGCGTCTCATGTGCACACTACGCGACGTTTTAACTGACATGACTTTCAAAGGGCTGTTGGTCTAGTCGAACATCTGCAGACATGTTCCCTACAGGAATCCTCTTGACGATCTTTAAGATTGCGTACATGCAAAACCGCGAGGAAGTCACGGACGAAAGGGAGTTTTACTTTTCCAGCAACTCTCTGGTCCCAGAGATCGTTGGGGAATACAAGTGCATTTGGAGGCGCGACGGAGAACTCAGGCGCCCTTATCTCTTCCCTTACAACATCGCTCCTGTGTGCGCCAAATGGCGCGCAATCGCTGCCAGTGTACCAGCGTTTTGGACCCGGGTCGTCTTTTTCCTTGACTCAGGATCTGAGGGTGCTTCGCTCGTCGATATTCAGCACCAGCTGCAGTGGTCGCGCGATCTTCCGCTGGAGATTACCTTAGGGAGGATGAACCTGGGCGACGGCTTCATGTACGACATGGAAGAAGCAGCTCGGGTGCGAAACGCAATGGAGCTACTCCTGTCCCATATATCTCGCTGGCATATGTTCTACATTTCTACTATTCGCAGTTCCTCCTTGCCAGTGATCCTGAAGGAACTGCGTGGCACTGCCCCAATTTTGAAGATACTCACGAGGGAGACGATGCTGATGACGATTTGAATGTGTATGGTAAAGACGTCTTCGTCTGCCCAGCACTACACAACTTCGGATGGTGCCAACTTCTTACGGCTTCGAAACGCTTACGGGGGGAAATGGGCAACGCAGTTCGTTCCTCAGTTGGAGTATCTCAGTGTTTCCGTCCTATCTGCTGCAGAGGAAGAAGAGGGGAACGGCGGAGAAGGCAGAGCCGACGGGGAAAGGGTTAGTGGAGCTGAGGGAGAAGAAGGGATCAATAGGCTTGAGAAGGGCCGGTTGAATCTGGATACCTTTCTCGGAGAGGTCGCGCAGCTCACCTCATTGCGCCAGCTAATCCTCAAATCAATCATTTTCAACAATATACTACCACTTGGAACTCACCACTTCTTTCCCACTCTCAATACGCTAGTTTGGAAGATCTCAGCATCGACACGCTCCTCGCCATCCTCTTCAAATGTGATCATCCAGGCCTTACGACCCTCAAGCTCGCTAGGTGTCCCCTGGACGCGATGCCCGAATATTTCCTCGACATCCCTTGTTTGGTGTTACAAGATCTCGCCCCCACCGTGAACCTCATGGAAATTCTCTACAGATGGCACGGAATGGGACTTGAAATCGTCGGCTGTCCAACCTTTGATGACACCGTGCTGAAACGACTGAGCGTGCCAGACGTTGGCGTGAAGATACAGGAATTGGCCATCTTTGATTGCACAAATTTTTCTGTCTCGGCTTTACGGAAAATGGTAGGAAGAAGGCTCATTTGGGCTGACCCTATGCAGACTCTAAAAGTGGCAGGTGAGGGGCCAGCTATCACAGACGACGAACGGGCGTGGATTGGAGATCATGTAGCAGAATTCTCTTACGATGTTGTATCGGCTGATCCTGAACGACTTACTTGAGTGGATGGCCCCCAAAGTTCGTCCCTGCCTCTTCGCACTCCGCCTGCCCGTCACCTACGCCCATCACCTCCTCCTCGCCTCAACCGAGCTCATGCAATTCCTTCCTACTGTGTTGATATTTACAAGGGCACCAACTCCAACGCGTAGGATCCTTCGCACTCGACGCGACTCAACTGGCAGAGCTTTCCCCAACCCCGTCTGGCTTGGGATCACACGTTCACATCGGTTCATCTTATTCGTTCTCCAACGGTCCGCTCTTCGCCGCATTTTTGAATTGTCTAGATTGATACTGACTCTTGTGCCCCTTTGCTTTTTTTTTATCGCGGCGTAAGCGCCGTTTTATGCTGTCCGTTTCGTAGAGTCTCCACTTGAAAAAAATACTTTTCTCTTATCTTTCCGCTTGCTATCCGTCCAAAGGAACCGCATTCCCTTTCTGTAAATTCAATTTTTTGCTTCACGTCCTTCCATGTGACCCTCGCCTCTCTTTCAAAACGTTGAGAAACGGGTCTTGTGAAGAGTAAAATGAGATTTTGACTGGCATTTGCGTCGTCGGGTGTGCAGTTACATGTACATGCGGTAATCGTCGTCTTGAGGCACACAGAGTGGGAAAAGGCTTTTAGCTGGCTTGGGTTGAACATGATCTTTTCCAGTATACATGGTCTGGGTTCAAGCCAGAGAAAAGGAGACATTCGAGTGATTTCGTGATTTGCGTGGGAGCGGAGTGGAGACCTTGATTTGCAACGAGTACTTGGAGGGTAAGTTAGAGAGCTCCCGAGCATACTTTAAACGATTTTCCTGCACCTCTTGGGATCATGGGCTGGAGTCAAAAAGCATTTGGTATGTAAGTTAAGTAATGCGTTTTGCAGATTATAATTGATGCAAAGTTTATGTAAAGCAAGTCTACAAACATCAGCAGACTGGCACAGCCCCATCGCACATTGATCGCTTACCTTTCCCAGCGCTCAGTGATCTCCCTTCTTTGTCCATCATCATGTCTTCCAGGCCGCCCTACAAAGGATCTCGTCGAAAACTTGTTATGGCTTTCGATGTAGGCACGACCTTCAGTGGAATCTCCTACAGGTATCTTGGTCGACTTCTAACTCTATTTAGTTTCATTCTTTGTTCAACCTGCAGCATCCTCGATCCTGGACAAGTACCTGAAGTGAAGGGGGTGACTAGGTATTTTACCCAATTTTCCATACGCATAAATCTCAAGGCTTCAGATTTCCAGCGCAGGAGCATAGCAGTGGCTCTTCAAAGATACCGACTGTAGTTTATTACGACAAGCAAGGGACTGTTCGCGCTATTGGCGCTGAGGCGGCTAGTGAAGGAATCTTCGAACAAGCTGAGGATGGTGATTGGTATAAAGTGGAGTGGTACGGGCAACTGGTTTGTCTTTTTTTCGTTTGGCTGTTGGTTGACGTTCCTTTAGGTTCAAGCTGCATCTCCGGCCGAACACAAAGCAGACTGCCCACATCTCTGAACAGCTTCCTCCACTGCCCCCTCAAAAGAAGATAATCGATGTTTTTGCTGACTTTTTCAAGTACCTATTCCAGTGTGCAGCCAGTTACATTCAAGAAACGCATGCGAACGGCCGGACATTGTGGAACTCCCTCGAAGACGATATTCACTTTGTCCTTTCTCATCCCAATGGGTGGGAAGGGCCCCAGCAAAGTCAAATGCGACAAGCCGCAGTTATTGCAGGTCTTATCCCCGACAACACCCGTGGGCGTTCCCGTGTTTCTTTTGTTACAGAAGGAGAGGCTAGTCTTCACTTCTCGATCGAGAATGGCCTTCCAGCAGATGCAATGGAGGTATGTCTTTAATCTGAATAAGTTTCTCTCCGAACCTTCCCCCTTCCAGACAGGTGAGGGTGTCGTTATCGTAGACGCAGGAGGCGGAACGCTCGATATCAGCGCTTACAGCAAGAGTACGAATGGCGCTAAGGATAGCTTTGAGGAAATTTCTGCGCCCCAATGTGAGACTTTTGCCACTTGTACTATTCTCACCAATCGTTGTCTGTCAGGTCATTTTCATGGATCAATTTTCGTCAGCATCCACGCCCGTCAGTTCCTCGAAGGTAACTAGCTCAAGTGTTCGCGATTTGTTGCATCCTTCGAAAATTGAATGGCTACCACCTTTAGATCATCTTTCCGACTCGGCGTTTATTGATGATATCGATAACATGGTCCGGTGCTTTGATAGAACCACGAAACTGAGATTCAGGAACGTCAATGAACCACAGTTCATCAAGTTTGGTTCGACTCGGGACAACGAACCTGAGTCGGACATCCGCTACGGCCAACTAAAATTAACGGGGTAGGTGATGACCCATCGCGAAGTTTTTTTGATTCAAACCCCTTGTGCAGTTCGGACGTAGCAAAATTTTTTGAACCATCCGTCAGATGCATTGTCCAAGCAGTGAATGAACAGCAGAGGACTGCCCACAGAGCTTTCTCGGTATTGCAATTCTTTGCTGTCCTTCAAGCAGTTAGTCTGATCAGTGTTCAGCATATCGTTCTTGTCGGAGGTTTCTCCAGTAACGATTGGTTATATCAAAGAGTGAAGGAGGATTTGCAGCCACTGGGCTACAATGTTATCCGCCCGGTAAATCACTTGTAAGCAGGTCTTGGCCCCTTGCCTCTCCACCCTCCAGTCAAGCGATATTTTCTTTTTCAGGAATAAAGCTGTTGCTGATGGAGCCATTTCGTTCTACATTGACCACTACGTCCACACTCGGGTATCTAAGTTTGACTATGGCCAGTTTTCCAATGTTCGCTACGATCCTCAAAATTCGGAGCATGAGGCACGCTACAAAGACAGTTACGTTTCCCTTTCTGGGCAGAGAAATATCAAGAATTCATTTAGCGTTATTTTGCCCAAGGTGAACCCTGGAATGATATATTGCGCCTTCTTCTTTTCTAACTTTGGGCGCCAGAATACACAGGTGTCAGAGACAAAGGAATTCTCACGGAAGTTCCACCTTTCCCGACCGACGTCAAGTGGACTTAAATCCGCTCCCGCCATGCTTTGGTCTTACCGTGGTGAAATAACTAACCCTAGGTGGAAGGATGTTGATAAAGGCTAGTCTCAGCGTTATCTAACTATCTCTCCTACTGACTGCAATTCACACAGGCAATTACTCTCCACTTTGCAAAATCGTAGTGGATCTATCGGGCCTGGATACCGAGTCACTTGCGCAAACAGGACCAGAAGGAAAATTTTATCTGTTTCACTACAGGGTTATACTAATGTTCGGCCTGACGGAATTGATGGCACAAGTGGTTTGGAAAGAGAATGTAAGTCGTTTCCCTGTCATTGAGTATTTCATTCAAACATCGGGCTCTTGTAATTCCGCGACTTGTCAGGGAGTTGAGAAGAGGTACGCTTCTTCCCTTGAATTGATATGGAAGGGTCTCTCAATTATGGGTATAGGAGTCCAGCCAGGATCATATACGATAATGAGAGTGGTTTGGACTCCCAATTTTAATGACGTCAATATCATGTACGCAACCTCCCCCCGATCTTCCCCCGATCTTTCTAATAAAAAACGTTGTGCATAAGTGTTTTCCCGAGCCTCGTTCCCAAACTGACCTGGTACTTATGACCAATCTCGCGTCTTTGCTGGATACTCGTCTATGACACTCTATGTTTTCGATTGCGCTACGACTACCAAGTAGGATGATGTAATTACATCCCAAGTTCGCCGTGACTTGTAATCGGTACAGACCAATTGGTGTGTTGGTCTTGATCACAATCTGTCAAATAATCACAGCCTTGATCAGAATAGTTTACAGCTTTTGCCTCATGGCGATCCCTGCATTTAATGCCTTCTTCTCAATGAGAGAGTACCCCACCTGACCAAGGCACGTCTTGATTGACGCCCAGTTGACGGCCCCGCATGAAGGGAACAATGAGCAACTCTCTCATCACCATGCTCCCCCGACCTGCCTTTCAAGGAAGCTCTCGAAAACTCGTTCTGGCCTTTGATATCGGGACAACGTTCAGCGGTATATCGTTTAGGTGGGCACCATCAATGTGGACGTCTGAATGAAGTTACATATTGGTCACAGCATACTCGATCCTGGTCAGATACCAGAAGTCAAAGGTGTAACGAGGTGCTGTATCACAGTGAAAGATCCGCGAAAGGACAATGGACTCATCATTGCGTCAGATTTCCAGCTCAAGAGCATGTCAGCGGCTCCTCAAAGATACCCGCAATCTTGTACTACGATCAAGCTGGAGAAGTTCGAGCGGTAGGAGCCGAAGCGATGCACGAGGGTATTTTTGAAGAGGCAGAGGACGGTGGTTGGATGAAGGTGGAATGGTATGTTGTTTGCGATGCCATTTGATTCCCACTCTGAAACCTTCAACTTAATTTAGGTTCAAATTGCACCTTCGACCGAACTCGCAATCCACCCTCGACATCTCTAAGCAACTCCCTCCTCTCCCGCCTGATAAAACTATTGTCCAAGTCTTCGCGGACTTTCTCCGATATCTGTTCCAGTGTGCTGAGTCCTACATCCAGCAAACTCATGCGAATGGTCATGTTCTATGGGCTTCCGTTGAGCACGATATCGACTACGTACTTTCTCATCCGAACGGCTGGGAAGGCTTCCAGCAGGCGCAAATGCGTAAGGCTGCTGTTCTGGCAGGGTTAATTCCGGATGACGCGACTGGTCATTCGCGAATATCATTTGTGACAGAGGGTGAAGCCAGTCTTCATTTCTCGATTGAGAATGGTTTGCCACCGGATGTCATGAAGGTATGTACCCTCTACTATATGTTATGTATCGAGGGTCGACAAATAATATTTTTTAGACCGGGGAAGGCGTAATTATCGTTGATGGAGGAGGCGGAACCATTGATGTGAGCGCTTATGGGCGAGTTCCGAACTCGATTGAAGACGCATTTGAGGAGATAGCTCCTCCCCAATGTGGGTAGCTATTTGTAGATTTATCAGTGTTACTCACGTCAAGGTTTTGGATATAGGCCATTTGCAAGGTTCTATTTTTGTCAGCCTTCAGGCTTCCGAATTTTTGTCAAGTAAGTTGGGCACATTATGGTATCGCGTCTCTTACCAATTTAAGATACCTGTAAGATTACCTTTCTGACTCGGCATTCCGAGACGATTTGGACACAATTGTTCAAGAATTTGACAAAACAACCAAACTTAGATTCAGAAACAAGACTGAGCCACAGTTCATCAAATTTGGCTCTACTCGTGATAACGAACCGGAATCAAATATCAAATACGGACAGCTAAAATTATCGGGGTGTGTGACCTTTTCACGCTGTTCAGGGTTTTCGTTCTGACACAATTTAGCTCTGAAGTGGCTGCCTTCTTTGAACCTTCGGTCACATGCATACTCAAGGCGGTTAAGGAGCAACATAGGCTGGCACACCAGCCCGTCAAGGTATTGTATCCTCCCAAGTATCACAACAATTTGGTTAATTTCCCTTCCAGCACGTCGTGCTCGTGGGCGGATTTTCATCAAATGACTGGCTTTGCAGTCAGATCAAGGCCGGCCTAGAAATCTTTGGGTATAAGGTCGTCCGTCCTGATAATCATTTGTTCGTTCCTTATACACCAAAAATATTATCAAGTGCTGACCTCTTTTGTAGAAACAAAGCTGTCGCAGATGGGGCTATCTCCTTCTATTTAGATCACTGCGTGCAAACGCGAGTCTCCAGATACACTTACGGTCATTTTTGCAGCACGACATATAACCCTTACGATCCTGAGCACGTCAAGCGTGAAGGAAATACTTACATTTCTCTGGGAGGAAAAAAACGTGTGACGGATTCCTTCAGCATCATCCTACCCAAGGTACGGATTACATCGATTGATCAAGAGCCGCCACTAAAGATTCATCAGAATGTCCAAGTCTCCGAAACAAAGGAATTCTATCGCTCATACCATATATCTTCCGATTCGGCGGAGGAAATGTGCTACATTTCGACAACTGTCTGGGTGTATCGTGGTGAGATCGAAACCCCCAGATGGCAAGATGAAGACAAGGGTGTGTATCTTTTATTTAAACTCATAATTTAGATGCAGGTCGAGAAATCACTCCAGACATGTACGACAGGCTTTGTAGGATCGAGGTGGACCTTCCCCACTTGAAAAACCAAGCTCGAGATTTTGAGAAACATGGCCCCGACGGAAAATACTACGAGCTCTCTTACAGGATTATTTTGCTTTTTGGACTTACTGAGCTCAAGGCCCAAGTATCGTGGAAGGAAAGGGTAAGTCAAATTCCCTGTATTTCCTACTAGTCTCTCCTCATGTTTGGAGGTGAGTAGGGAGTAGAGAAGAGGTGAGACTCTCACGAGCTCTACGCGCAAAAATGAACAACTTTGTTTTGCAGAAGCCCCGCAAAGATTCTCTATAATGGAGAAGACGGACGCGACGCGTGAGTCTGAGAATAATGGAAGGCGTTGAATGGGATTCGGTGCGATGCGGCGTTTATATTGGTTACCGTAACATTGTTTGGCAAACTTTGGACAAATCAATAGACTGCAAAATTTGCCTCTCATCCAATCGGCCTAACAAAACCTAACAACTTCACGGAGCAATTCACAACGTCATTGCGTTTGCCGTGGGGTCTTCCATGTTCCACTAGCCGGCCTCTCAAGATGTCTCTGTTAACATCCGGACACTAATATCGACGGCGCGATCGGTGATTACACAGCCGCCGAACTGTCTCAGACGCTGGCACGTTTATGCTCATAACGACGCCTTCGCCAGCTTTAATACGCTCGAGAGCTCTCTTCTGCGAAACATTTCGAGGTCGAGCGACCTCATTTCATGTCTGCGTCGTTTATTGTTGGGTGAGTGGTTTCTCCATTCTGCGCCAGTGGTATATAATCATCAATCCTATAACAACAGAGTCCTACTCATCGGCTCCTATGTCAACTTGATATTTTACACGTTGGAGCTTTTCCTGTGCCATCGATATCTATGGAAGTCCGAAAGGGCCAAGAAAGACGCGACTTTCTTGAAGCTTTCTGTGGTTTTCATTGCTTGCGTTGATGGTGTTGCCACCTTCGGGGCTTGCACTTTGGTGTATATGGTGAGCACTGTACGTTGTGGTCAATATAAGTTGCTAAACTCACTGCGCAGTTTACGGTGCCTTTTTGGGGTGCAATATTTTACTCATTCGTTCGTCAGCTATTGAACAGAGAAGATGTCTAGGCAACGTGGCGGCGGTCCAAAAGTCATACTGGCCTTTTATTCTCATCGTAATTGGGGATGGCCTGAGCACATTCGTCGTACAGGGATTTATGATTTACCGTTACTGGACTATGTAAGATCAATTGCATTCTCAAGCGATTGGCAGGCTCACTCCTACCTCTAGCTCTTCAAACCTTTTTGTTACGGTCTTCCTTATTTTTATCATCACCGAAGCCGTGCGTTGAACGTTATGGTTACTTTATCAGAAAAACGACTCATCGTGATTATAGTTGGCGGTCGTTTTCATCTACGGAATCTCAGCAGTTGTCAACAAGCTCAATAGCCGGTCGGCACATTTTCACTATGTCGTGTATGCTCTCTTCCTAAGTAGAGTTCTGACGTCGGGCTGATGAAACGTTCAGTATCGCACTATCCAGCATTTTTGCCTCAACCGTTGCGGTGACAGCCTGCCTTGTATGGCACATTGAGCATATTAAAACGCAACACAAGGAAACTAAAAGGTGTGCAAGTGGGACCTCCCCCTTGCTTTCTATTAATCATGCCTCCAGTCTTCTGAGAAGAGTTATTCGGATAGCCATTGTGACGGGTCTATTACCTGCCATCATCGCGCTTGTGGCGCTCGTTGTGTATGTCTCAAAAGTTGATCTTTGGCAAGGTAACCCCACCTGATAGTTGCTTGGTACACATTAACGACCTTGAGCTAGTGTCTATCTCGCTCGGACTACTCTTGGGACGTGTGTACTCTTGCTCGTTGCTTTACATCCTCCTCACGCGGGAGAAATCAAGAGGCACATCGGTTATCTACACGAGCGACGAGTTACCGCCGTCTGTTAGTAGTGGGGATAGCCATCATCACGAACCGATGAGTACGTCCATGGACATTTGGAGATTACATCTGAAATTGTCATTTTATTCAACAGCACCTGAGCCCATTTCTCCTTGCGACATACAGTTCAAACGAGATGAGGACCCAGATATTATTCCCCGCGAGGTATGCCCTGCACGTGGCGTACTTTGGACATTCATAGCTTACTGGTTTCCGCCCAAAAGGTGGTGTCGCTCAGTGGATCCTCGTCAAGGGGGATCACCTGAACTTGAAGGACTTCTTGTTTTGGAGAAGTCAAAATATTGACCTCCAGGCTGAGTTGGGCGGAGGGGCTGCTGAGCCTGAGGCCTGACCGTCCATATCGACATGATTTCCACATTTCCACAATTTTTCTTATCACTATGTAGTACATTGCAATCATAAGCATCCGATCGAACGTTTGTGGTGGCTGAGCGCTGAGCTCACCGCACCATCTATCACGAGACCAACGATGCTTCTCCATAGTGACAACTGCTGCTTCTTCCCTCCAACCGTCCACAAACCCCAATGCGTGCTTACTACTACGACAACATTCCAGGCGATCAGCGCTTGCCTCACGATTACGTCCCCTCTCGCCCAGTCTCGGAAGATACGCTCGACAAAATCAACGTCAAACACTGGACGATCCCAGTCGAGGGGTACGAGAGCAAGGTGAACGCACTTGCGCAGGAGAGAGGTTATAAGAACAGAGACACGATCAACGTGTCGAAAGAAGGTCTTGGCGAGGTGAGTTTTCGAAGAGATGTCTGTGAGATCGCTTATCGATGGATGCAATCTTCTAGGTTTATGAGCAGAAAATCAAGGGGTTCTTTGAAGAGTATGCTTGCTCGCCATAGTGAACTGTTGAGGACGTGGACTTATGAAGTTGCGTGTTAGGCATATGCATGAGGACGAAGAGATCCGCTACATTTTGTCGGGAAGTGGGTTCTTTGATGTCCGTGGTATGTCGGTGCTCTTGTACAAGGAATGCCTTAAACGAAACTGAGTTCAATCCCGTTCGTTAGAAACACCTACCGATGCGTGGATCCGCCTGGCCGTTGAGCCTGGCGACCTTATCGTCCTTCCGGCTGGCATTTATCATCGGTTCACCCTGGATGAGGGGAATTGTATCAAAGCTCTCCGGCTCTTCCAGGTTCGCCGTGTTTATACGTCGCTATGACAGTGAATAGATGTACTCAACTTCTCCGCAGGATGAGCCCAAGTGGGTTCCTTACAATCGGACTGCAGACACCGACGTCAACCCACACCGGGTTAACTACCTGAAGAGCGTCGGGGTGGGTGCATAGAGTTCAAATATCCCAATGGAAATGTACATATTATGTATGCGTAGATGCAAGTCAAAGCTAGTCCGTTATTGACAGGAGATACAACTACATGTAAAGAGCGAGACTCAGATTCCAATACAGACAAATAGAATATGCTAGATTTAGAGTATCATTGTAGATCCATCGTCCAGGCTAAGTCGCAATAAATAAAGAGATAAATACCACCACCTCCACCCCATTGAGCCCAGCGAAACTCCTTACTGCGAACTGGCGCTCGCTTTCTCCTGTGCACCAACAATGTTCAAAGGAGCCGTCTCTCTGTAGAAAGGGGGATCCTCTAGGGATGGGTAACGCACCGCAGGCGTCTGACCATCCACTAAAGACCCATCCCTACCAAACGCGTGTGGAGGCGATGCAGGAGGCTCAGTGAGATCGGGCGAAGACGCCTCAGCTAGAGTTCCCATAGGGGGTTTTGGTCCGATATTCTCCTGTATCCTCATCTTCCTCCTACCGACCCGGTTCTTAACCCGGTATCGAGATCCGTATTGCCCCTCTTCTTCTTCTTCGGGTATGGCAGGCTTGATAGATCCGGCTCGTTCGATACGGGATACTTGCGTTGATGAGCGAGAAGGTGGACTCGGGGCATCCCTAGCTCGGGATTTTAAGAGTCGTCCGACGAAGAGGGTATCACCACGTGTGAGAGTAGATTCGTCGTCCGGTGTAGATAAAGGAATCTCTGTGAAGGACGTCGATGAGCTAGACGGCAACAAAGGAAGGTGGGTGAGCGTGCCAGTGAGGGGTCGGGGTGCCGCTGATTGCGACTTGAGATAATCGGGAAGAGCTGGGACGGGCGGTGTTGAGGATACGGAGAATGGAAGTGCGTTTGATCTATATGCGACGTAGGTGGATGCAGAGGCTTGTGAGTAGATGGATGCGGAGTCGTCTGATTCTGCAGCCGATCTGGTGGATGCTTTTCGAGTAGGCTTTGGGGTTGGGGAGTCGTTTAGGCCGGGTATTATGAGCGGAGGAAGCCTTGGAGGAGGAGATAAAGCACGGAATGTGCTACTGGGTATGGCAGGGGCAATCAGTTGAGGTGCAGTTGGCAGGAGTTCGCGAGAGGACGGGCGTGATAAAGCGTACGGATCAAACTCTGCAACGACCCCTTCGTAGTTCACATTGATGAAGGCGGACATTTGACGGTCTCGGGATGCCGTCGACAAATATGATGGTCTTTCTTCCATAACGACCGAAAGGCGATTTGGTGGATTGGGAAGTAGAGGCATCATACCCACGATCTCCGATTGAGTTGGTCTGTGTCCTTTTCGATACTGCTGGGGAACCTTGACTCTCTCTTGAGCCTCGTTCATGTCGGCCATCGTCTTCGTTTTTGGCACGCGTTTGTAGAAGCGACGTCGCACAAGAGGTACAATGGCGAGCACAAGGAGAACGACGAAGATCAGGCAACCGAGGACGATTGCAAGGGTGATCAACCTCCCGGATACGGAGCTCTGCGCGTGCGACACTCGCGAAAGCTGCACAGTAGGCGTCGGAGAAGATGCACTCGTTTGGGGCGCCATAATGGTTACAGAGGGAGGGATAGGGCGATCGTGAGGAGAAGATTGACATATACATATCTGTGCATGTCTTGGTCGCTAGCCAGGCACAGCAGCAGCACAGCCCTCGTTGGCGATCCCGGGCCCGGACGGGACCTCTTAAGGATCGTACCGCAGACCAATACTTCGAGAGATCCAATATTATGAAGTTGGAGCTAGTTGGAAGGAAACCAACTAAGGAGGTATTCGGCACGGAACCATCTGGATGAATGTTTCAGAAAACTATGCATAGGAGAGGGATGTTGGAAAGGCTTCGGAGGCAGGAGAGGGAGAATAGTTTGGCCCTTATCTCTCCGTAAACGAACGATTTCGTTCAAAGATGGTCGGCGTCTAAGTAAGTATAGAATTGAGTACCGTGGCATCAGGAGAGATCAATCGATCATGAGCAACTGAGTATAATGTAATTTTATGATTGATGCAAAAAAGAAAATAGGGGAATAAGTCACCCTAGGAATATGTCGGAATGTGTCAGCTACAAAAGGTCTTCAGAGGCAAGGCAAGAAAGAAAATGTTGGAGAAATGAGGAGAAATGTCGTTTGAACTTCGAGAATGATGCCAAGCCCAAAGGCAACAACTCGGATAACAAACATCAACTGTCGTCAACTGCTCGGTACCGCATGAGATCACACTTGGTTTCCAACTCCCACCATCCCAAACTCCAAAAAATCAATACAAAAAAATGACAAAGGTGAGCGATGCTTGAATATGTTGTGCAACTTAAAGAAAAGCTGATTATCTCAAGATTAACACTTGTCAAACTGAAGGTATCTTACCTTGCTTCGACTAAAACAATTGCGAGGACTGAGATGAGCCATAGCTTGCGACTTGCAAAGCTGTTTAAACAGAAACACATACGCCCCGGAAAAATGCGAAAAGAATCTTCGAAGTTTGTACGAGTGCTGCCAACGCTTTTACAAACTGACGGAGGGCAGGGGCGAATCGACTTCGTGTCCCTTGCCGAATGTTGTGCAAAGGTGGATGAGAGATCACCCTAAAGAAAAGGACTGGCAGTGAGTCAAATTCTATGAACTCAGTGCGCGAAGGAAGTTCATCAGTAATGATAGCGATGGTACTGAGATTCCAGTCCTTAAGGTGTGAGCATAGGCTTGGCCACGGAGGTGAGGAGACGATTAAACTCATCAGATGACGTCCAAAAGCAAGCCTAAACCCGGAATTATGGGGGGTGAAGAAAAGACGAAAGCGAGCTGAGGAGAAGGAGGGGATTTTGGTGAGCGTGCCGTGAACGCAATTCACCATCTTGCAACGGCTTCAAAGTTCGCATGGGTAGCGATGCCTTCTCCCATCACCATCTTATGCAGGAGACCAGATACTAAGTGCAAACCGTGGGCTCTCTTGATTACCATACTTCCCGTTCAACACGACGACGGTCATCTATGGGAAAGAGACACACCTATGAAAAGGGAGTGCGGTATGTTTTGCCCGTCAAGTCCAAAGCGTTTGTAGATTATTTCCCTTTCTTACCGTGACCCCATTTGATCGTTACGCTGTTGACCCAATGAAGCCGTCATCCTCACCATGGCCTACAACCACCAGTATTCCATTCTGTTCCATTCGGTCACCGTGAACGAATTGCGAAATTTAGCTTTGTCTGTTTCCGAGTCGCTTTGTTTATCTTCAAGTTTGTCACGAGGATGTTTGCTCGACTTCATTCCACATCATTCTTCCGTATAACAAACGTCTCAGACGCTTGCCTACTTCCTTTCCTTCGTTGACAATAAATCCTTCAACACAAGAACTCGGTGATAATGATCCCCGGCCTGAAGAAACAGGACTCCGGCGATGGCAGGGCCCTTGCAAGCTGGGATACGCGTCGACGTTTACTCAACGAGGGACTCCTTACGCGGTGAACTGCAATGACGCGTTCTCAAATATTTGGTCACCACAATTTGGTTAATTATATCATGGAGCGACCCAACACAGGAACCAGAACTCGGAAAACTGGACAATGATCAGAAATGGGAGGATAGAAGGGAAAGGGAGAGAGATAAGCCTACACTGCGATGCAAAATACCTGACTACGGAGGTACTCACGAAAGACACAACGAGAAAACCGGTGTTTTGCTAATTCCTATTCAACTTTTGTTCTACCTCTATCTGAAGAACGGATACGTCATGAGATGTTCACATGGAACCGTGTACACTCCCATGCCCTGGTCAAGGAGAGTACAAAAGAAGTCTTCTCCTTGGTATTGCTCTGCACTGATCGCAGACCAATCTTCCTTCACTTTGGAAAGTATATTCGTGATAGCATGTCGCAAATACCCTCGACTTATGGCCGGCATGAGGTGAGTACAGCATAATCTGCTCTTATTTTTTTCTCAATTTACGTCTGTATCCTAGACAGCGAAAGACCTTGAAGACGTCGAGATTCGGGGACCTTACCGACTTGCTGAAGCAAATGAAGACCCCACAACCTTTCTTCCGGTCGTCGTGAGCTTGATCTTCTTCCGCAAAGAAATACACCCATTCTAACCTATTTCAAGCTGAAGAATGGTGACACCGCGCCAACCGCTGGCCTGCGCGTTGTCGACGAGAGAACCAAAGGTCACCTATATGTCGGAATAACGAATCTGACAGAACTTCCCCTCGTTTACGTCTTATATCAAACAGTCCCCGAATTTTGGGGTGTTCTTCAGCCTGGCCAGCGAGCTTTCAGATACCTTCATTGGATCAACACATACAATATCGTTTGTTATCCGTTTACTGGGAATAACGAGCCCACTATTCATACCCATCCACCTAATCGCCTTGCTCCAAATTATGTGTCGCTCATTGCTGCAGCGTCCAGCTACGCCTTCAGTCATGGCGCTTCTGCCGCTGCAGCCGGAACGGCTCTCGCTGCCGTAGCGTCCATCGTAAAGTCGCCCGTCACATTCGGGCTGACTGCCGAGAGTACAGTTGCCCCAACGATGTTGAACAATCCGACTTTTTTGGCTGCTTTTAGCCGGGCTACTGCGCAGGTCCATAGCGGCGATCCATTCAAAGCCAATGGCCAATGTTTTCACATTGTTGGGGGCATTCAGAGGGATCAAACTTTTGGCGAATGGCGGGAAATGCAGATGACCTGGCAGACGTAAATTCCATTGGTGTTTGGTGTTTTGATGTGGCTCGTACTTTTGCGTAAGCGCCTTCGAACGACACAATTGTTCGGAGGAACATAATCTGTGTTGAAATGGACCACTTTCGAGATTCCATTGTAATCACCGTACTGCTTTTTACAAGATCTTAAATGAAACAGAAACTATTTTTGAGATGTTTGGATACTAGAGTGTGAAGGGAAAATAATCTTACCGTCCAGGACTGGAGGAGATGGGAGCCTTGAAAGGGTAGAATCTCACTCAACCAGTAAAGATAGTCTACGAAATGTTTCTTGAAATCAATTTTTGTGAGTCTTCATTTACAGAGTCGCCGCAATGGGGAATGGTGGTAGAAGGAGAAAATAAATATGTACATATTACTTACGTAATTCATAAAACGTGTTCTCGTAAAACCAACCTTCAACCAGATTCCACATTTTTCCAACGTCGCCCGAGTCTATGGGTATGTGTAATCTTCCAGAGTTATGAGAAGGCGTGAAATCCATTCTTCATTCTTTTTGTAACAGTGGACTTGTCGAGAGAAATTGGCACTTCAAAGTTGGTGATCCGTTCTGTCCATTTCTTTCGGAGGAGTTGACTCTGGATTATCAGGCTAAGCCTTTGAAACGAATAAGTATATCTACAACGGACAGTAGAAGGAACGTTGCAAGTTCGAGGAAGTTGACGCTCAGGGCAATTCAATTTCGGTATGTGACCTACGATCATCACACCTGCCAGATCAAACGATTATGACGAACGTTACAATGTTCATTGCAGTGACGCAAGGCAGCCACGAGATATCGACAGTATTCACACCACCCTCCGGATCTGACAGGACAACGTTCTCCTCTTACCCCCACGACGATGAGAATCGTCGACCGAATACCTACAGTGGTTGGCTTTCGGGTCATACCAACCACTGTCCTCGTATTGCTCACATACTTGACCATATTCACCTTGGTTATTGTGACGGACTGGCTCCCCGAACCGCCCAAGAATCAAAACGGGCTTGACTTGAAGCAGGCTTATACGGACCTTCGTCACGTAAGTGCCCGTTGTCTCCCACAATCGGGATGGATACTCAAGTGTCACTTCAGATCACAGCACACCCACATCCGTACAACTCCCACTACAACGATGCAGTACACGATTATATACTCTCGCGAGTCCGCCCGGTGGCAGCTTCGACTTCTTTTGTTCACATATCCGATGATCAGACTTCAAACGGCTCATGGGCATCCCCTGGATACGGTGTCTACTTTGAGGGCACCAACATCCTTGTCAAGATTGATGGCAAGAGTTCCAACGGTAATGACGGGGTGCTGTTCTCAGCACATTACGACTCGGTGTCCACTGCACCAGGCGCAACCGATGACGGCATGGGTGTTGTAACACTCTTACAACTCATCGACTATTTCGCAAAGCACCGTCCGGACAGGACCGCCATTTTTAACATCAACAACGGGGAGGAGGATTGGCTCAACGGTGCACATGCGTCAGTGTCCCAACGTGTTTTTGTTTACCAGCTCAGTAGACTCATAGCGCTAATTTAGGTTCTTGCAACATACATGGTCAAACCTCACCGACACGTTTCTCAACCTCGAGGGCGCAGCTGCAGGAGGGTGCGTGTTTCGTTTCCTCTCCGTGTTTCATGTCTCACATTCTGTGCTGCAGCCGCCCCATCCTTTTCCGAGCAACATCCACTTCTCCCGTACGTGCCTTTCGGTCGGATTACGTCCCCCACCCCCATGCAAATGTCATCTCTTCCGATGCATTTGCACGCGGTGTGATACGTTCTGGGACGGATTACGAAGTATACACTGGCGCAGGCGCAGAAATGGAAGGACTCGACGTTGCCTTTTACAAAGGCCGAAGTAGATACCATACCAAGTATGATGCGGTCCCGTACACCAATGGCGGAGAGCGTAGTCTTTGGGCCATGATGGAAACTGCTCAAGGGGCCGGCAATGCCTTGCTCAACGCGAAACGACACAAGCAAGATCAAGGTTCTGGTGGGACTCCCGTTTACTTTGACTGTGAGTTCTTGCAATCCTTGTCTGTTGAGGTCATGCTAATGCTTTGCTTTTAGTAGTGAAAGCAGAGCTGGTCATCTTTTATCTCAACGACCTACTGATCTACAATGTCGTGTCGCTGGTTGTCGGGCCCATCTCATTGATATTCTTCGTCGTTTGTGAGTATGTTCTGCGTAATGAGCGTGCAAGGCAACCGAATGGTCATCCCGTTTCCCGCCCCTCGGTTTTGGAATGGTTGAAGCAGCGATCTTGGCTCCGGGCTCTGTGGAGACGTTCCAAGTTCTGGATTGCCCTGGTTATCACAATCGCGTTACAGGCTCTCCTGGTGTGGGGTTACTTAGCTTTCAACTCTTTCGTACGTCATTCTCCACATTTCATCAGCGAGATTGCTCAGTCTCACTCCATTACAGACGGTTTACTCCTCCCCATATCTTGTCCTCATCTCCTTCTTTTCTCTGGCATACCTATCTCTGGTCATTCCCCTCACATTCACATTCAATCAAACCCAAAGCCCCACGGCCAAATACATTGCACCCGAGAGGGAGAAACACACACTCCTCATCCAGGTCTACATATTCACATGGATCTTACTGTTGTTCTCCACCATCGCCGTTGCGCGGGCCCAAGTTGGCGGCCTGTACTTTGTGACAGCTTGGAATACTGGTGTTTGGATCGCTTGCCTCCTCGCAGCCGTGGAGGGGATGATGCTGCCTGTTCCTCAAGGTGGACCTCGAGTCCGGTTCCACAGCGCTCATCACCACCATCATCATGAACACGAAGAAGACCAGGATGCTGATGATGACGACCGGGAACAGCGCCAACCACCCACTGAAGCTACGCCCCTTATTGGATACTCGAGAGCGTCGTTGCGGAAGCCACAGGAGGGCGGTGTGGTTGGATGGTGGATAGTCCACCTGCTTTTAACCATTCCGGCACCGGTTCTTCTTATCGCGCAGATGGGGTCACTGTTGTTGGATTCATTGCCGCAGACATTGGCTGACGGAAGCCCCGCCTACGTTGGTAAGCCCTCACCCTTTCTTATCTCTAGTTGCGAGGCTAACATGGTGATCTCGTAGTTTACGCTGCTGCCTCTCTCACTGCAGTCCTTCTCGCAGTCCCGTTGACCCCGTTCAGCGGAAAGTTGCATCGAGGACTCTTCTTCCTCTTCTTCCTCTCCTTCCTCATTGTCACTGCCTACCTCTGGCTCGCGTTCCCCTTCTCGTCCGCCGACCCACTAAAGGTGTTCTTCCAGCAAAAGGTCACTCTTTCCAACGTTGTCTCCGAGAGACACAGCTCTATCATGGGCCTCTCAAATTCGACTGTTCATCCAACCGCCGGGGTTAGGAAGGTTGTTACAGCTATAACTGGTACACCGTACTACCTGAAAAACGAAATCATCCCCAGGCTACCGTCGGCATCAGGCAAGGAGTTGAAATGCAGAGACGAGAAGGCTAAACGGGGGTTAGTGACGTGTGAATGGGAGAGCACCTTGGTTCCCTCACCTGGGGGTCGCAACCCTTGGGAAGATGATTTTGCTGCAGCGCAGGGTCGAGTCGGAGCTACTTCAAAATCCCGACAATCGTGGTTTAAAGCGGAAGTGGCGAGAACTGGGGTACGCAAGGGGCAGATTGTCTTGCAGGGACGGAACACGCGCTCGTGCAGGCTGTACTTCGATAGCCGACCAATCATCAAGTACGTTGTGGAGGGCGGCCACGAGGGAATGCAGAAGGGCTATGAGGTGGGGAAGGTGGGCGCTAGTGAAGTCAGACTGTGGAGTCGCACGCGGGATCGCGAGTTCGTTGTCGACTTTGAGTGGGAGGATGATGATGGCCGAGAGGGTGAGGGCATCACGGGGAGGATAGCTTGTGAGTGGGTTGAATATGAGAGTGGGAATTTGGACAATGGAGATGGGCAGTGGGATCTACAGCGTGGTGGTGGTGAGAGGGCGAAGATACCAGCATTCGAGGAGGTGCTGGCTTTCCTCCCTGAGTGGGCTGTGGCGTCCAAGACTACTGATGGTTTGGTTGAAGCATGGAGTCCTTTCTCTGTTTAGTTACTAGTTTCTTGCTCTGTACCATCCTGGCTTGAGATTGAATTATTAAAGGACCGCGTTTTCTGCTGTATTCCAATGCATACGTCTTCCCAGAGCATTTGCGAACCAGGATGTCGGGTAAATGAGGCGGACGTCTTAGGGTGATCCTTTGATCCATAATCTATTACTACAGCTATACAGTATGGGTATAGGTTCGTGAATCCGGCACCATTTTATCAATCTTCTCGTGTTGAGTCAGGGTCATAAACAATCTTTGCCGGGCTTCTGGAATTGCAAAATCTGTCAGTTGTTATTTGAATATGTTGAGCGGATATCCTCAGCACTTTTTCTCAACTCCCTAAAGTTTATATCAGTCACAAGGCGTGTAACATTTCATACCAAACACAACCTTTTCCATCCAAGCCAGCTGGGCCTTCAACTCCGTCAATCCGAATAGTAAAACTATGTCGTAATCAAGCCTGTAAAACTTCCCTTGGGCCCCATGACGTTTGATCTCTTTTGTGTTACGGGAAAAATGGGACAGATCTAACTCGATCGTGCAGACCTTCGAATACATCCCTGGTCTTGTGGTCAATGTAAATGAACAACCAGAGGTAAAATAATGCTTACGGGTGTCGGTATCTCGCCATCTCGGTTCAGCTATGACGCCTCGGTAACACCACACGGTGGATGTCAATGACGCGAAATCAGTCTTGAGTTTGTATAGTTGAGTAAAAGAACTCCGGAATTCTTGTGTTTCGGAAACTTGAGTGTTCTGAAAAGTAATAGCTGAGCAAGATGTATTACCCTGCCAATCGTGAGGACATTGCCTTGGGTAATATAACCGTGAAAGAGCCCTGGACGCGCTTTTCGCCTGCCATTGAGACAAAGGTGTCCGCCTCACGTTCCCGATGTTCGGGATTGTGGGGATTGTATAATGCATTAGCAAATGCCCCGTAGGTAACTTTCGCTACCCTCGTTCGCACAAAGTGGTCCAGGTAAAAGGATATTGCCCCATCGGCGACAGCTTTGCTCCTGTATTGTGGATGTCAAAAATAAGTGAAAACGAATGGCGTTCGATACTGACACATGGTTTTCGGGGCGGATAACAAGGAAGCCACTGGGCTCCAGCATTGCCCGCAATCGGTTATGAAGATAATCACTGGCGGCGAAACCCCCCACTAAGATAACGTGCTATCATGAAGGAGTCAGCTCGAAATTAAATTTCGAGAGTAGTAAAGACGGACGGAGAATCTTTGTCGCGCAACTCGATGCTGCTCAATCACAGTATCAACAACGCATTTGACGGATGGCTCGAAACAAGACGCAACGTCCCGTCTAGCAACGTCAAAACATTATAAGGTCTACCTGATAAAAGAACACATAAATTCTCACCCTGTCAACTTGAGCTGGCCATAACGAATATTAAACTCCTCGTCGTTATCGCGGATTGAGCCAAATTTGATGAACTGCGTCTCCTCAACATCACGAAATCGGTGTTTAGTAGTTTTATCGAAACATCGAATGATGTGATCCAGGTCATCTATAAATGGGGAGTCCGAAAGAAGTCCTGGTGAAATGAATGAGGAGAGTTACGAGACGTAGGCGCTTTGCATAACTTACCGGAAAGGAGCTTTCGGGCCTCTATGGTGACAAAAATAGAGCCATGGAAGTAACCTGTGATGTGTTAGCTCTTATATTGAGACCCTGCATCCCGCTCACATTGGGGAGCAGCAATTTCGGCAAATGAGGAGCCCCGCCTTGCATACGCGCTGATATCGATTGTGCCGCCGCCAGCATCAACAATAAGTACACCATCCCCGTTCTTGTGAGAAAAAAGGGTTTAGGGATATACAAAAAGGTCGTAAGCAAACTGGAACATACATTCATTGTAGTTGACGAGAATCCGTTGTTTATTGAGAAGTGTAAACTAGCTTCTCCCTCCGTAACAAAGGAGATTCGAGCATGTCCTTCCGGCGTACTCGGAATCAGTCCGGCGAGCACTGCTGCCTCCCGCATTTGATTCTGCTGTGGACCTTCCCAACCGTTCGGGTGTGAAAGAACATAATCAATGTGATTTTCGACGGAGGCCCACAAAGTGTGCCCGTTGGCATGAGTGTCCCTGATATACGAGCTTGTACATTGGAAAAGGTAGCGAAGGTAGTCAGCAAAAACTTGAACGACAGTTTTGCCCGAGGGAAGTGGTGGTATCTCCGCTGCTATGTGTTCCGTGGATCGTGTCCTAGGCCGAAGGTGGAGCTTAAACCTGTTGAGAGATAATTGAGTGTTAGTGTTCAAAAGCTTTGCTCCGGAGAGTCCACGCACCATTCGGCTTTAACCCACCCATTATCTGTTGCCAACTCCAAAACCCCATCCTTGATCGCTTCAGCTCCAACCGCGCGCACAGAACCTCGCGGATCGTAGTAGATGATGGTTGGGATTTTCGACGACCCAGTCACATGTTCCTGAGCAGGAAATCTAGAAGAACAGATAGGCGATGCCTCCGATCTGGTCTAGAGTAGCTACCTTGTCACACCTTTGATCTCTGGAATTTGGCCTGGATCTAAAACGCTATTCCACCAAAATGAGATAAGGTAGATGAACCAATGGGATGTTTACCTGTATGAGACACCGCTGAAAGTGGTGCCTACATCGAAGGCGATAACGAGCTTGCGGCGGGACTCCCGATAAGGTATGCGGGAGGCCATGCTGTCACCTGGAAAAACACCGTGGCAGAGGGGGAAATTGTCCTTGGCCAACACACCTGTCGACGTCTATTTTATAGATGTCATACCGGCGCTTACAACAAGGTACAACGTCTTGAATTTGACAAGGAAGGGCCCATGACATCTAAGATTGTTATAAGGGGGAGGCTATTCATAAAATTCAAATCAACCACTGCCTCAACAATACATCGTGAACTCACAGCTCGACAACATCCTTATCGCTACTCCCCAAGTTCGCCCTTCCATAGCCTCTCGTCTTCTTCACGTGTGGGAGACATAGCGCCCAGACTTAGAGCGGCGATAGAAATCCGAAAATTGTGTGGCAGTGCAGTGAGAACTTGCCGGTGCCCCTGACATCAAAGATACGTTGGTGTTCCGTCATCCATTCGATGAGGATGGTAGGACCTGGTAGGATTGGGTAGGATGGCATGACATTCGAACAGATTCCCTGACTTCACTTTCATGCCTGGTTCACTGATAAAACGAATCACACAGGCAGGCGCTGTCGAAACGTTGAAGTTGCAACGTTAACCTCAAGGGAGACTCAGCCTAGATCTTGAGTGGCGCTCACGCCGCACGCGATTACCACTTGATTACCACCCGATTATCCCCCATTCAGCATTCAACGTTTGACCCTGAACCTACCACTTCCTTCACGCTTTCATGAGCCTCTTAAACCTCCTAGGAATACGAGGGGTTCTTTTTCCTCTCACTGTCGGCCTGACTCTCTTCAATGTATTTCATACGACGCAGGCGCATGTCGCGGCATGGCACAAGGGTGAACCAATACTTATTGTATTCGTCGATTTGAACCAAAAAATTCACATTTTCCCTTTAACATCTTTAGGGATGTATTGTTTGAATGGGTCGCAGCCAGGCGTCAATAACCAGAACACCAATGATGCAGTTCAGCCTCTTTTCATGGTACTTCGGGTTCTTTCATGCGTGAAAATCTCTCACCCTTATAATTATTAGCTCAACAAATCTGACTGGTGGTTTCATCATACTAACAATGTCCGTCAAAATTCCAATCTGATTTCAATTTATCAATACATCCCAAACGCCGTTTTTGCTTTCAGTGCGACCAGTTCCCTCCAAATGAGGGCGAGTTCCTCGAGCTGTGAGTTCTGACTGTTGATTTCTTATATTCCATTAACATTTTGCAAAGCCCAGCCAACGGCGTTTTCACCGTCGAGCTTGCGGTTAACCGCGCTTTCACCACACTGTCGTATAATGGTACAATGACCGCTTTGTTTGGAGATGGTCAAAATCATCCCGGCCTCGGGGTAACAAGTGAAGGTAAAAATGGAACCGACTGCATCGTCAACCCGAACAGTATGTCTTGATCCGCTTCCTTTTAGCTTATGCTCACCTTATTTAGTCCACACGCAGAACCAAAGCATGGCAGCTGGCACTGCCTTCGCAATCTCCTACACGTCTGATTTGAAGCAAGTCACACCGGAAAACTTGGTCGTCTTCACTGTGCTTTACAAGTGTGTATCGTTCATAACATAACGTCGCCGAATATTAATCTCCTTTTAGTACCCCTTGGTTTCGTATTGCTGAGTATCAAGTTCCCGATCTTCCTGCCTGTCCCGAACCAGGTGGATGTATATGCGCTGTACGACATTTTTCTTCTTGCTCGGCGTCTTTCATCTCTAACCATGTTTATTTTGTGTAGTGGGGTTGGGTAAGCACACACTGCGAATTTGGAAAATGAACTTCTCATCCATCCCGCCCGAATTAAGGTGGCTGACGGGTATGTCAACTTTTTTTGTGCCCATCGGCGTGTCTAAAGTATAGCGGTAGCTGCGGCGAACCGAACATGTATATGCAGGGCTTTCACTGCCGAGTCATTGGCAAGACGGGTTCAAGCGCCGTCGCGTCAGCAGTTCCCCCCGTTTGGTGCGAAGACAATAAATCAAAGTGTATACAGGGACCTAAACAGGTGAGGGTGGTCATCTTTTCGTTTCTCTGCTTTAATGTTGTTGATCTTTTAGATGGTGTTTTGGAACCAACTCGAAGGAAACAACATTGTTGTTTCGGGGTCAGACCTGTCTGGAAACCCACGATCCCCAACGTATAACGCCAAATTAGGATTTGCGAACGGTTGTTATTCCTTTCTTATTCTCCGCTTTCTGGAACTGACTACAGATTTTAGGATCACAAACAGACATATTCCTTTCTCCCGGGACAGCGAACCCGACCGTGATTCACCCAGCAGCCACACCGTCGCCTACTTCAAAAAGTGCAGCTATGATTATTTTTTTGAACCCATATATGGTTATATCTTTGGCTTTGGTGTGCATAACGTCGAATGTCGGACTGGTTTAACAACGGACAACCTCAATTAGACATGGACAGGATAAACTGGTGTAGAACGTTTTGACCTCATTGATTTACTATTTATATCATGGCATTAATTTAGACGCCTTACACTTTAGATATCCGCTTAGATGTTTAGATGTAGAAGCTCAAACTAAACTTATATCTCGATTTGGTGTAACATATTTTCGCGAGAAAAACATACCAGGTCCCTTCACGTGCACCAGCGTTCCTTTTCTGGCTATTTTCGATTGCCGGCACAAATAATAAATTCACCTCGACCCCTCTCGAAGTGAAACGAAGTGGCGAAATCGACGACGGCAACACTACTTTCAAACACCATATTATGAAACGCAGCCGTGATATCGATATTGACGTTGACGACGTCATTGCGTCGATGAACCTGGATAGAGGACTGCTTGCTGCATTCAAGGAACTTCCTGAGGACGAACTTGCCGCCCTGTTGGGCGAACTTGCCAATCGTGCCCGCCTCTCTACTTCTGCCTTCAAAAAGGCCAGACTTGATTTTACATCGTTCTCTCAGGCAAAATGGTCCAATTTTGCACGGCAATATGGTCTCCGGGAACTTACTTCAACACTCACTCTCGGGACTTTCACGACCCCGAGGTATCGCCTCCCGCCATCGCTGCATGATACCATGCTTCAAAATGCTTGGCGTTGGCAAGACGTCTATCGCGAGAGCATGTTTCAAGAAAGGGAAGCGGGAAAAGTGAGACTTTTGGAGCCGGTATGTCAGCCAAACAGCGACTATATGCATTGTAGTCATTCACTGTAATTGACGCAGTACTTTGTTCCGTTGATGGCGTTATTTCAAGGTCGAATGTTCGACAAGCCTGAGCAGGCAATGGTTGGGAACCAATATTCGACTGGAGGCGAAGTTGAACATGAAGTCAGTATGACTTGTCCTTTTGCGGGCTCCTTGTTCTTATTCAGTAGATCTTCATGATTGGCGGAGTTCTCTTCCTCGTCATTGAAGATAAACGCAACACTCCGGACGATAACAGCTTGGCCCGACTTTTCCTCGAGCTTCTATGTGCGTACTTTCTATTGCAGTACACTTAATCCACATTGAGCCATCACTTAGCCGCCGCCGAAATGAACAAGAAGATCGACTTTGCAGGTTTGCGCATTTACGGCCTTTTAACCAACCTTCAGCAATACAAATTCTATTCATATGATCCCTCCACCGAGGAATTTTTCTTTGACGAGCTGGTCATCATCGCGAACAAGAGAGTCCCGGCATCCAACGACATGATCGATGGTTTCTGCATTTCTCCATTATATCCGCTTAAACCTGACTTTTTTGCAGTTGTTAATAAAATTTTCGGCCTTGTTCTAACCGGGTATATTGATGGTTTGCGCGCAATCAAAGAACGGAGCGAAGATAGGGCAAAACGCAATGCCGTTAGTCCGTCCCTAGTATGTTGAGTATGGTATCACTCACGCATTTCCAGTTGTCGCCCGAAAGTTCTGCGCCTGTAACAGGACCTTCCTCTCAGGAGGTAAAATTTTGACATGAATCGAGGGACTTTGATGATATTAGGTATCGAAATCCACAGAACCAATAGAGAACAAGTTCTACTGACTCTACGATGACATCCTTAACGAATTGTTTTCCTTCAACCCACTGTTTCCTTCTAGGTATCCATCATTTCACTTTGCTTTCAGTCAACTAGTCACGTTCCAAACAATCGCGTCGCGTCCGCACATCACGTGCTTCAAAATTTGCTTGTTCCATTTTGAGCTTGGACTTCATAGGACTCACCGACGTTCTTCAGAATCACTGAAGCATTACGAAGGTTCTTACTCTGCACACAAATAAGAGACTCCGAGCCAACGATACTGATGACCTTGTTCCAAGCCTTGTTCCTCGGCTCGATATGGCTCGACTGGATGCTTCTGAGAAGTTCCTTAGAAACCTTGTCCTGTCCAAAGTTGGTGATTACTGCGATCTCCTTGGAGCCCTTCGACCGAACCTTCCAAAAAACTCTTGTATTCCCCCAGTTTCAAGCAACGGTCGACATGCAATATGCACCTACCCACGAAACCTTGTACTCGACGACTTATATAGAAACCTGACTCGAACAGAGAGCGCTCTAATTTGAGTTATGCTCTACTCCGATTCTGCAAGAGCCACTCTGGGCGGCTGCGCTTACAGCGTCGGCATGTCCATCGCCAGCCTCTCTATCCGACTCGCACGGCGCCTTCCGTGGACTGGTATCGTCGACCAACTGCGCGAAGAATACGAAACCAGTCCCTCCATTTTCGACCCAACTCCCATTGATGCCATCTGGGAAGAAGAACACCGTTTCCTCCACTGGAAGCGAACGGCTCCACATAAGAGGCCACCATTCCGTCCCAAGGAAATCCCATCTGGGTGAGATGTATCCCCTTTATTGCTCCTCCCTTCTGATTCGCTTATATTCATAGATCCATTCGTGTGGAATTTTATGCTGATGTCGAAATGCTTCGCCAAGGCTATGAGTCTGATGTATGGGCCAATATTCCTCTAACCTATTCGGGGGAGTTGGAATTAGGCAAGGTAACGAAGTTATGGGGACTTGAACCCCACAAATACGCGGTATGTCAGCTTTTCCTTCCATGGTATATTGTTGACCGTTCGCCAGATTATGGATCTCCCTCGTTACGAACCGTTCTATCCAGCAAACCAGGAACGTCTTTCCCGTCTCGCTATCTCTGTACAAACAAAAGACTTCTCCACGCCGCTTCGTATTTTCGGCAAGTCTCTGCATTGCTTTTTGGACTGAGATCTTCATAAATTGTTCTTCAGAGACGTCAGTTTCGCAGGTTACTTCTATCAAACGCAACCTACGGGCGTACTGGCGTACCTGTCTAATGTTAATCACGCTTTTCGCAAACCTCATCAGCCATGGAACGAGCAGCCAAATGGACTGTGTTGTTCCCTTCTCGCCCGCATTTTGGGATATCTACGACTTACTCTGCGACTTCCGCAACCTCGTGTGTGGAGTGGTCGTCCTAATTAAAGATTGTTTCGCCGGCATCCGGCCAGCGGCCACTAGGCACTTCGAATCTACCGACTTCTCGTGGTGGGCGTCAGGAGGGTTCAAGGTTGCCCTATTATTTTGGGTTTTACTCGCGGAGGCCGTATCCTGTGGATTTATCAGGGTGTGGTGAAGATCTCCACGGCGACGACGCTTTCATGCCACATATGCCCCATTACATCTATGACCCTATGCACCCCTTATATGCTTGTTTTCCACTACTATGCCCTCCATCAGCTGTCTGCTTTGTTCTCTCTCTTTTATATACAAATGTACAGTAGTTGAAACTGCCTCTCGATAACTAAAACTGTACGATAGCCATTCCGCTTTGTTCAATGTTGCATCATCATTTTGGATACATACCCGCGAGCCCGAAAGCGAAACCACCGCTATATACAACAAAAGGACAACGAAATGCAACGCTTAACCCCTACCAGGTTGAGTTTCAGGTTCGTAAACAATGCGAACAGTGCTCCTATATAAAGTGGGGTTTCTTCAGTTCAATCCTTGTGCTGAAGAATTATGATCCATACCGTTTCTCAACTCCCTTTCAAGTATGTAGGTGAGCTCATGTATGGTTCAACGTAGAAATTCAACTCACGTTCTCTTTCCAGGCTATCTGTGCCTTCAACTCCGTCAAGCCGAAGAGCAAAACAGTCTCGTATTCTACCTCATAAAACATACCTGACTCGCCATTGAGCTTAGGTTGAGCGACAAGAGGTAAATGCGAAAGGTCCATCTCTATCGAGCAGACCCTTGTGAACATGCCTAAAATTGAAAATTTCTTCGTCACTGGAGGTATCGACTGGATTAATATGCGAGAGCGCTCACCAGGTTCAACGTCCCTCCACATTTTCGCCGTATCCGTTTTAGCCCCTCGGTAGCAAACGAGGGTGGTCGTTAATCGTTTGAATGTCGATTTCTTGTCGGATCTCTGGTGGTTAACCCTCCGGAACTCCTTGACTTCGGACACCGGTGTGCTCTAAACATGGTCAGTGAACTACTCTTTGGCTGGTTGACACAATAGCCGACGCTACCTTTGGCAAGATGGTGTGGAAGATACCGACTACTCGCTTTTCACCAGAAGCCGACACAGCAAGAGTCGATTTTCGTTTTTGGTGCTCTGGGTTCTTTGGATCGTATGCGATGCGAGAGAAAGTGCCATATGCGAATTTTGATACCCTAGTTGTGACATGATGATCGAGATGGAAGGATATAGCCCCGTCAGAGACAGCTTTACTCCTACCAAAAAATGCGTTAATAATCCGTCATTCCAAAGGGTCAAAGGAATTTACAAGTGATTCTCTGGTCGGAGCACATTGAGGCCGTGCGGGGTCAACGCCTCGTGGACCTTCGCGAACAACCAATCGCTAGATGCAAATCCCCCGACCAATACAACGTGCTACCTGCAGTCAGTACGAAAAGAAGTAAAAACTAATGATCCTCTTACGGAGACGGGTTCATGTGCCAACGTCTTTTGCTCCATGACAGCTTTCACGATGCAGTCTACTGAGGGCTGGAAAAAAGGGGCGACATCAGATCTAGCGCAAGAAATTATTAATTACATTGAGGATGTTAAACTAGTGATGTAAAGACACACCCGGCGAGCTTCAGCTGTCCAAAGCGGATGTTACAGGCGGGATCGTTGTCGCGAGTTGATCCAAATTTGATGTACTGGGTGCCATTTATGTTCTGGAATTTGAGTTTAGTGGTTTTATCGAAGCACTCTATGATGTGGTCCAGATCATCCAGAAACTGTGACTCGGCAAGGTATCCTATCCATATCTTAGCAATAAACACATCAAATGTACTCATATATACCCACTTTCTAAGAATTGTCGCGCGTTGATGGTAACAAAAATGGAGCCATGAAAGTGACCTGTCAAAATAATTGGTGAAGGTAGTTTCGGGGTTGGGGCAGGCTGGAGACATACACTGTGGCACAGAAATCTCTGAAAATTTCTTGTCGGCCCCTCTGCCTCGCTTATAGGCGCTCAGATCTATGGTACCCCCTCCAGCGTCTACAACAACGATACCCTCTCCGTCCTAGAATCAAAAACTAGACGTCTACTACTGCGTGTAGAATGAATGAACGAGTTACCTCCATTGCACTAGAGGGAAGGCCATTATGGATAGAGAAGTGAAGGCTCGCTTCGCCCTCCGTTACGAAAGACAGGCGTGAATGTCCGGCCTCGGTGTCTTTAATGAGCCCCGCAAGGACGGCAGCGCGACGCATCTGACTCTGTTCGCGACCTTCCCAGCCATTCGGATGGGATAAAACGTAGTGTATTTCCTTTTTGACGGAGCTCCATAGATCTGCACCGTTTGCATGGGTATCTTGAATGTAGCTAGATGCACATTTCTGTAAATATCGGAGCAAATCCGAGATGACCTCTATAACGGTCTTATTCAGTGGAAGGGGAGGAATGTTATCCGTTACGTTCTGCGATGCGTTTCCGTTGGCGCGCAGGTGGAGTTTGAACCTGCGAAATGTGCGTTACACATGGGATTGACTATTGGATCCGAGATCGATTACCATTCGGCTTTGATCCATGCCTCCTCCTCAGCAATCTCATATATGCCCTCACGCATGGCTTCCGCGCCAATAGCGCGAGCGGTTCCACGGCGGTCATAGTAGATTATCGTTGGTATTTTGGAAGCACCGCTTATATGCTCATGAGCAGGATATCTAAGTTGTTCAATTAGAGGGGGGGTCAGTAGAATGTATCCTGAATCACTCACCTCGTCACACTTTTGATCTCCGGGACTTGTCCGGGGTCGAGGATACTGTAGTTGATGTTATAGAAAGGAGAGTGGGCTAGGAGGTGACCTTGCTCACCTGTACGAGATTCCGCTGTAAGTTGTCCCAACATCGAAAGCCAGAACGAGTTTACGGCGGGAGCCCTGATATCTTGGGCGGGTGGGGGTCATCACTTGAGATGTCAAGGAGCAAGGCAAGAGGTGTTATGGCTGTGCCTGGCGGTCAATAAATCATATATTGAATGCGGAACCAGGCGGTACCTCGGCGTCAAACCTCTCAATGGTTCAGCGCTTGTCAACTTGTCAAGTGATACCTGGACATGGCTGCTAAAACAAGGTGTAAAAAACTATCATCCTAAGTGAATACGCGGAATCTGGACACAAATGGCGCAGAAAGAGAAGAGGAAAGGGTTTGACAGTCAATTGACAGTGCAAGTGCAATGTAATTGATATGCCACGTGACCAACCCCGCCATCTGAACAAAATGCAAAATGCTTTGTGACCGTACTGTAAACACGCACTACCTTATGTCCCCTTCGGGGTGACATACGAAAAAATTGGAACGATACAGAGAAGATTAGCATGGCCCCTGCACAAGGATGACACGCTTTCCCGGAGTGGTAGACCTACGGGTCTCAATATTTATTTATTTGTTTTGCTCACTACCTACTATGTATGGCGTTAGGAAATGTAACATATATCCCCATCTGAACAGCCGATAATAGGGACCAATGGAAGTTAGAACAAGTTTTCCAATTCAATAAACTTCTACTAGATGTTTGCCAATAACATTTGCACAAAATACATACATGTAGCGTATCGAAGAACCCAACCGCAAAGAAAAACCACCAAGCGTGTTTATTCCAATGGGGTATCTTCTGGCGAGACATTTGAGAGGCGTGCCAGATCCTAAGGCCCATCTGGACCCTGGGTGCGAGGGTGTGCTGCTAGGACGCATCGTGGCCCATAGCACGATAAAATTTACAATATTTACATTAAGGGTACAAACCCGTAGATGTGTTCAGGGGTTGCAACATTGAATGGTGCGGCTTCAAAACTTGAAACTCGGCACAGTAGGCATGGAGGTAAATGTGCTTCCAAGGCCTAATCCGAAGCCCGGCGTGGAGGGTGCTGGTGGTGGTGCTGGTGGGGGCGCAACGGGTGTCGGGTTTTGGGATCGCTTGATCTCAGCGGAGTTGAGCTCGCGCCCATATAGGAGGAAGGCGACGCGTAGTTCCTAGATATGAAGATGGTAGGTGAAGGTAGAGGGTCGAGTCGACACGCTTACCTCGGGGCTGTGCTCGATGTACGCCGCCTGTGTCGATATGTTTTCTAGGGTTTCCTTCCCACTATCGCTCGCGTCACCGAGCTTTGGATTAGAGGGCGTAGTAGTGGCGTTACTCGTTGGCGGTTGAACGAATGGGTGCATGGTGATAGGTATTGGCGACATTACGTTGCCTCTAAGGTAAGCATGGTACCTCAGTTCCTGACCTGACGTGTTGAGCGCCAAGACACGTAGAAAGGGAGCCTCTCTTACCTCAGGTGCGAACCCCATATACTCCACCATGCACGATATAGTCTGGTACCGTTCCTCCGCCACCAATTCCTTAAACTCCTGCCCAAGAGGTAGATCGGCTGGGTTCACGATTTTGGCCTTGGGCGGCGTCACTAGGGAAGCAAAAACGGGCTCTGCAGACGTTGGAACTGGCTTGAAAAGGATGGGTAGGCCTAGTGCTATACGTTCATTGTCCCCCGTTGGCGTTTGCGGCACTGGAGGTGGCGGTCGACCAGTTGTTGTATAAGCTTTCAGATAATCATCAATTCGCACTTCCTGCCGAATAGTCAAAGCCACTCGTCCAATCTGATATCTAAGCCACTTTACCTCAAAAGATTTGTTTTGTAGGCCAGCGACAGAAGCTATGGTCATGAAAATTCCATCTACCGATCCCATTTGTATTCCAGGAGACCTTTGAGCATGTGGTTGTCAGAGAAAATGTATTGATCGCCGTGTGAAGAAATGGGATTCAACATTTCGTTGTTATTCTACAAGCCAGATGCCAAACACTCGTCGTTTCTTACCACCGCGACAACCGCGGGACGTTGACACTCAGAAAGCTAGGCAGCGGCGCTCTCTTGTCATCTTCACTGGCTCCGATGATGTAAATGGTGTCCAGAGTTTCGGGCCGGGAGCGACTTTTTGGAAGAAAAGACAGGGATAAGACAGGAGAACTTTCTTGCAATTGACGCATGTTTTTAGGTCACGTGTGCAGAGCAACAGGAAAAATTTATGCTGTACTTTACGACTAGCTTTTTCACCACTCGAAGAGTCAAGACGCATCAAAATCGTTGTCAGTACCAAGTGCACCTTAGACCTTCCCAATAACTGACCACCAACCTCCAAAAGTCTGCCCAGAAACTCGGATGTTGCCCGCAGGTGGCGGCGGTTACACGCCAATCGCGTCACTACCAGTGGAGTTACTCCTGATTATCCTCAAGACCGTCTACATCGACACAGTGATGATCTTCGATCCGCACACCTTGTGCGAGGGCCCTTGCGACTGCAAGCTTGACTGGAACGAGGGAACCCTCACAGAATGGAACGATCACGACGATTTGACATCTCCTTCTGTCTTCCCCTACGCACTCGCATCCGTTTGCAAGCAATGGTACGACCTCATGCTTCTCGTCCCCGAGTTTTTGACGCGCCTCGTTATATTTGTGGATTCCCAGCCTACCTCTACCACAGATTTGCGTGCCCAGCTTTCTGCTTCGCGCGACCGGGTTTTTGAGGCTCACATCACCAACCGACAGGACGGTATTGGTGAGGATTTGATGGAGAGAGCTCGGGTGCAGGCCGTGGTTGAGGTGTTATCCCCACATTTTCATCGGTGCGATCGGTTGACGTTTAACGTTATGCACAACTCGTCTATCCCCTCCATCCGCCGCAACTTCAGCGGAGTCTGCCCGCTTTTGACGGAGCTATTGATAGAATGCAAGATACATGATTCCAAACCAAAAGAAGTCGGCAAGAACGAAGTGAAAGCACCCCCTCTCTTCCCCAACCTTGACCGCATTGCCTTGACGGGATCCGCATTCGCCGACGCCTACGAACATCCAAGCTGGCTCAGTGGAATAGAGACGAAGAGGCTGGCGCTGTGCAAAATCTCCCACTTGTCTTCCATCGACGTCCCTGATCTCACCTTTTTCAACTTCCTCTCTGTTCTGGGAAGGTTCAAAGGCAGCATGATCAGCCTCGAATTGAACCATGTCGACCTCCCTACCTTTCCACTGGTTGAGGATTTACCTGACGACTGGGATTACCAACTCGACTTCAGTAGCCTCCACCTCGAGGGTCTGAAAAAGGAAACATTTCAAGAATTCGGCCACTTCACAAACACTTCGCGGTACTTAGAGTCACAAACGATCCGAGCCTGTGAGCTCACAGATCACGGCATTGGCCATTCATACTACCTCGACGTGCAAGATATCAAAAACACCGAAGAGTTACTGTCTGTCGTCCCCACACTCTCTAGCCGCTGCGTCAGTTTCGTATCCTGCGGAGGCCTCAACGACGCTGTTTTAGAGCGTCTTTCAATGCGAGACCCTTACACGGGCGAGTGGGGCCTTGAAAATTTGCAAGATCTCAATATTTTGAATAGCCCCGAGATTTCTGTTCAGGGGCTGAAGCGCTTGGTAAAGAGCCGAATCGTTGAAGCGTCAGCACGTGGATACGGAAAGGATCCAAACTACGACGACTTTGATCAAATGGCGCCTATAGCCTCCCTGTCCATCTCCCGCTGCGTTGATTTCTCCGCGGTAGACGTTCAATGGTTCAAGTCGAGAGTGAAAGACTTTTCATATGTAGGTGAAGTTCGCATTCTCTATCATAATTGAAACTACGCTTACATCCATTACAGGTCTTTAACATGTAATTACATGGTTACAGATTTACAAGTAGCCTGAGTGTTAGATTTGTCGAGAAGAAGATAAAAAATTCATGGTCAGCAGTCGTGTGAGGATAGGGTGGCGAAGAGGGAGGGGAACATAGAGGCGATACTCCCAGCTGTCTTCCTAACGATCGTCCATTCCGACGAACCAACTTCAAGTATGCAGGTATCGTCAAAATCGGACGGCGCTCGGGCTAGTGAACAAAAATACAAAGTACGTTCCCCAGGTCTCTTTACCCAACACTGTGACGCCTATCGTCGTTCATCGCGGCCAGGATCACCTTAAACCACAATACATTCATCGCTCGCCCAGATCTAATCCGAATTGGCAACTGGCAAACCGCCGCCCCCTCGTCTCCCCTTACCTACTTGGATGAAACTTGGAAACTTGGATTCAAGTTAGGTCGCTCTTCGAGGATCCTGTTGTGATTGGCCTCCGTGCGTGGGCGCCTCCTCCGCTCTATCTTTGAATTTCAGATCGCTCAATTAAATATTTCGTTACAGAAAGGGGTCGCTCTTACGACCCACAGGAGCTCCGGCGGTCGTCTTGGCAGCTGATCGCCGGCTCCCAACCTACTACCCAGCAGCTCAGCCTCTAGCGATCTTTTAGTACAATCGTACAGACCGAGCCCGAGCCTCTTTCACATGCTTATAAGTTTAACACACTCGGAAAGGATAGATTCCAGATCTGCAACGTCCGGCTCCCTTAATTTATCTGATTTCAAATGATGGTGGATAGTCCCGTTCAAAAGTACTAGGGGCCTGACATATATTAACAACGCTTCGCTCACCCTCTATCTGTCTACTTATCTCCCTCGCGTTTCCTCCTCGACGGTTGTCACTATTCCATGGTCGCTTTCAGTCTCGCCAGTTTGATCTCGCTCCTTTATCATGCAAATACGACTCACGTTCGTCTGTCTCCCTTCCGCCTTTTCCTGATAGCGTCTCATGGAAAAACGACTTCTTCTTGGTAGCGCACAACCGGTTCGTTCCGATCAATCTCGGAGCTTCAAATAGCCTTATTAACGAAACATCACCCCAGTCGCCGCCGTCTGCCTCTTCGTGTGCATCCCCTTTCCACCACGACGTACACTCACTAAAACCCAATCAGTTATACGAATACCTATTAAATCTAGATCTCGAGGTCGAGCATATATGGAGTTCCCGCTGGAACACGATCAAGGTTCTCTATTTATTAACGCGATACATGCCCTTCCTCGACATAATCTCCGTTCTGTATTGTAAGCTTCGTAATTAGCACCCCTTACACATCTCTCACCATCTTATTGTCAGATATCCTTCTCAACGGTTCCTCAGAAGAAGCTTGCCGCAAAACATTTGCAGTCAACGGCTGTATGTCCCTTTATCTCCCACCACTTCACTCCTCCCCCCCTTTTTTTTGCTAATCCCGAAAACTAGGGATGTTCGCAATCGGAATTTCAGTCACCGAAAGTAAGATAACCTCCACCACATCATACACCCCAATCACCACATTAACCACTTCTAAACCCTTGTGTAAAAGTCCTCCTAACGATGAGAACATGGGCGATCTGGGGTAAAGATCACAGGCTCACCATCATCCTCCCAATTCTTTGGGCTCTATGCTTTGGTGGGGTGTTCACTTTCATGGGGGTTTTTCTCAAATCCGTGTCATGTGAGTTTTTTCTTCTTGTGTTGTACCATTCATTGCTTATTTTTTATACACAGTTATCCCGCCCCCTCGAGGAGCCGGATATCAATCAGCGGGATGCTTCAACGTCAGTGCCAGCCCGATGTTATTCGCTTGTTGGCTGTTCGTTATGGCTTATGATCTAGGTGAGAAAACACTTGATTACTTACATAGATACTTACCGACTGTGTCGTGCAGTGCTTTTGATATTGATCGCAATCAAGGGACTTCCGGCGCGTAAGTATCATTTTGGTTTTATGGGCGTAATTGGAAGTGAGGATTTATTTTTTCCAGTGAGAATGACAACTTCTTCACATCGGAGACTCGCAAATGCGGTGTTCCTGAATGGTATGGAACAGCGCTACATGGTTTTGTCATTTGTTCACTTATTTTTGATCAAGGACTGATCTACTATTTCTACCTCTTCGGTTCGTCCCTCTACCCTTCTTATACATGGTCAACCATTGAAATTTGCATGTCTTCCAGTCATGTCAGCCATTAATGTTGTCCTCATATATCCAGTACGTTCTCTCCATCACCTACTGTCTATACCAAACTCATCCCCCTTAGTATGCCTATGACAACCTTCTCTCAACGTAACCTCTTATTTATTTCCATCTCGTCGTCAGTTTATCTCACGCCTATTTTCGCAGGTTCGAACGAGTCATGTACTCTATCCTGACCTGCCGTGTCATCCTCGACATTCGCACAGAAACGAAAGAGGGCCTCGAAATGTCCAGCCCTAATTATTCAGTAAGACTTCCGAATCGGTCTAAATAATCCTCTCCGATTCTTTATATATACCCCCTTTCGAATCCTTTTCTTCCATTACAGGTCTTTAACATGTAATCACATGGTTACAGATTTACAAGTAGCCTGAGTGTTAGATTTGTCGAGGAGAAGATAAAAAATTCATGGTCAGCAGTCGTGTGAGGATATGGTGGCGAAGAGGGAGGGGAATATAGAGACAATACCCCCAGCTGTCACCCTAACGATCGTCCATTCCGACGAACCAAGTATCCAGGTATCGCTCAGTCATCACTGTATGCTAGTGAACAAAAATACGAAGTACGTTCCCCAGGTCTCTTTACCCAACACTGTGCCGCCTATCGTCGTTCATCGGGGCCAGGATCACCCTAAACCACCATACCATTTATCGCTCGCCCAGATCTAATCCAAATTTACAACTTGTGCGACGGGAAAAGCGAATCGCTCAGGACTCCTCTGGACACGCATGTCAAAACCCGAAAAAGTCCAATGGAAGCCGCTGGTGACCTGGTCAGCAGATATCCGAAGAATAGAAACAGCGTCACGGTATATCTAGGGACCTCCCGCACTCTTGGCGAGTTTTTGGCGCTGTCGGGCAGCTAACGACGGTGCGGCTGATGTAAAGTCGGACGTTGATGACTCTGACCCAATGCCCTTGATGGGTCCCGTCCGCGGGAACATTTGACAAGAAGTTTAGGTTCGGGACATGGCCAGAGGTGAGTATCATCGTTCTCTCAGACATGGCGCTCTTTCCAGGCTCTAGTGCTGTCGTTCCCTTCAGATCCCAAGAAATGGGGAACCATACTTATCAGGAACCTGCCAAGGGTGAGGCCTGGAGGGGCCATTTGCCAGATGAGGTACACGTCATTCTCGTGACGGTGCTGTCCGCTCTAAAGATGCAATGCGGGAAACGTTCGAGGAGAGCCCATCATTAGCTTGCATGGTATCAGCAAAAGCTAAAACAGAAGAAAAGGTACCACTTCACGTACGATTCTGGAATGAGCGCGGAGCCCACAACCCACTCGCAACAAACTCGCAAGGCAGGGATCCAGGGATCCATGACTTCCCATCATCCTACGCATCTCCTATCAACCAAACTGAGGGCTTCCGAAGCCAAAAGGCGGGCGTAGCTTCGCCCCTCTTACTCTTAGTACCTCCCTTCATTCGCCAGATCCGCCAAGTCCATGCTCTGCGGATGCAGCACAAGTCAAATCCACTCTCAAAACCAACCAAGAACTTTCCGCAGAAATAATCTTTTTAACAGACAAGAACGGACTCACCGAACGAAAAATACAGGGTGAAGGGAATGAGGGAGGAAAGGACCAGTGCGCGTGTACGAGCGCCTACTCAACAGAGAGTCATTAATCAGGCCAGAGAGGGTACAATAGTCGCTGAATTACCTCTGATCTGTGAGCCTCAAGATTCTAGCCTCGTACCGCCATCTGACATTCTCCAAGTCACGCAGTTCCGACAAAAAATCCTATAATGTTCGGGATTCTAAAAGTGGACTTCTTCATGTCTTTTTCTGGATCAAAAATAGAAAAGCTCAAGAAAAGACAAAAGTTTACGCACCAATGCTTCTTCAAGACGCCTCCGACGTACTTAGTGCCTCTCCAAAGTCAGTGGTTTCTTCCAATCGCCAGAGTTCAGCCGGTTTTTTGGGCTGAGGCATCGCTGAATATCGCCACTGAGCCAGTTAAGTTAGTCACCTTGGCTCATTAGTAATGGGCCACCCTGCCCTGACAATCCATCAAATGGTAAGGGCCTAGCCGGACAGCCGGTTTGATTACCGGACCCCCATTGTCAAAGGGGCGGCCGGACCCTGAACAAACCTTCAGTAACTATGCGCAGGCCGTCAGTAACAATGACCCAGACGATTGGAGCGGCTGGCACGTACTTTGTCCGCCATATCCCCTGCGGGGCTGCGGTCCGCCGGGGCATTTGGTATGCCGGCGGCGATCATCTGCCCTCCGCTGGGGCGTTTTGTGTGCAAGCGGCGATCATCATGTATATGCCGAACTACTTGTACAAGTCACCCATCATAAGTAAGAAGTCCTCCCTTGCCGAATAGATCTCATTCTTCAGCTCGTTCAAAACCTCTAAGACACACTCAGAATCCAGTAAGCCCTCTACTGCATAATGCCTCATTAACTCCATGGCTTGAACTGGGTCACGATTGCGGGAGGAAAGAACGTTGACACAGTTAATCCACTTGTCAAGTTCGCCGCTTCTAAGAAAATGCTTTCTGAGGTTAGTAACCGAAGATAAGACAAAAACCATGACCAACCTTATTCCTAGGAAAGTCTAGTTTTTCATCAGTCCAATCTTCTCTTGTCATCTCCTCTTTGACGCTAGGGTGTGTTCCCTTCCTGGGAGGGTTGGAGGCAGATGGCGGCAGACCTGCATAGCTTAGGGCCGATTTTGCCTTGCGGAGGGGACGGTCCAAGTTCATAGCAGGTGGAGTGGTGGATGTAAGACCAGAGGAGCGTGCCTTGTGGAGTGGCCGATCCAAATTCAATTGAACTGCAGGCGGCGAACCAGTGAGATCTACAACATCTGTGGCGGTTAACAGTGATGCCGCCGGAGAGGCGTGCGGACATTCCAAGTTGAAAGAAGTGGGTGGAAGAGCATGTGAAAGTGTTGGACTATCTGACGGTTCAATCTTGACTTTGATTGTTCTTGCGGGTCGGTCCAAATTGAAGCCCAATTGAGTGGCAGGCGGCGAACAAGTGAGATCTACGACATCTGCGGCGAACATTGATGCCGCCGGAGAATGGTGTGGACGTTCCAAGTTGAAATGAGTGGGTGGAACAGCATGTGAAAGCGGTGGATTATCTGAAGGTTCAATCTTGACTTTGATTGTTCTTGCAGGTCGATCCAAATTGAAGCCCACTTTGGTGGTGATAGGGTGAGAACCGACCGGCGGCGAGGCCTCAAGCACTGCGGAGTCTTGATGGAGAGTTGCACGTGAGGGTGGAGAAAGAGCATCCATGGATCTGATTACAGCTTCAATATGTACATAAAATCAATAGAATGAGTTGTTTGCTTACGGAGGCCTAAGAGGACGATCCAACTTCAAGTTGCGGACATCCTGCAATGTTGGAGGTTGGCGAAGAGAGAAATCATAGTCAACTGGAGGAGGTTTTCGTCCTGGACAGTCGAGGTTAAACGTAGATGGGGCAGGGCGTTCAAGGTTTAACTCTGGCGAAATGCGACCTTCCAAGCTGGTATCGTTCCTGTGGGTCGATTCACCCGGCGGTCGCATTGGGCGGTCAAGATTCAAGGGAGGGGCTGCCGGCGGTCGCATTGGGCGGTCAAGATTTAAGGAAGGGGTCGCCGGCGGTCGAACAGGGCGATCGAGGTTTAATACGGAGTGACGATCGATAGGATGCAATTCCTGATTGAGCTGCTCAGTCGTTGGCTTCTGAACACGAGCAGGACGGTCAAGGTTGAAACTAGGGAGATCCTTTGTCACCGATGGTCGTTTAACTGGCCGATCTAGATTGATCGGAGGGTTGGGATGCGGGGCATGTTCATTGTTTGTTGTATGATCGTTGCGGATGGGACGATCAAGATTGAACGACATAACTGCTGGGAATGGTAAGACATCAGCTATAAGAGCATTCACAAGATTGCTGGGTTGACGCACAGGATGCCTCGCTTTCCGGCGGGGGGTTGCTTGCGGCGTTCCCAGGCGGAGGGTTGCTCGCGGCGGTCCCACGTCCTGGACGCTCCAGATTAATCTCCACTTGGTGCCGCTGCGGGCGCGTCAGACTGGTAGCTACCACTTACATCATGTACTCCTGAGCTGTACCATAGAAGTTCCTGCTTAGCTACCGTGAATGAAATGAAATGAATTTTCATTCATTCACGGCACCTGTTTCATTCTAGATAATTTATTCTGTTTCATTCATTCCTGGCGACTGTTTCATTTTTTTCTTTCATTCCACCAGGGCAACTGTTTCATTCCTTGCTTCATTCTTCTCAGGTGCCTATTTCATTGTTAGAGCTGGGAAAATGATTATGTAATTGATACAAAATATTTAAGTGCCTTATTTGGCAACAGCATGCCTATCTCATTGTGTATTTGAGCCTCAAATGCAAAAGTACCCCCATATGGCCTCCCACACCACTGCAGTAGGGCACAACACATATCAGGCATAATTGTATATTATTTCCTTATTTAGATGTGTGTTAAAACATCGAAATTGTTGCCTGAAAGAATGAAACAAAAATGAAATAACTGCCTGGAAAGAATGAAATGAAAATTCCATGGCAATGAATGAATGAAAAAAATGAAACAGTTGCCAGGAATGAATGAAACGAAAGAATAAAGCAAAAAATGAAACAGTTGCCATGGTGGAATGAAATAAAAAAATGAAAGAGTCGCCAGGCATGAATGAAACAGAATAAATTTCATTCTTGTCAGTAGAAATGAAGAAAAAATTGAAATGAAATGAAATGAAACAAAAAGTATTTCATTCTCGACGGCAATGAATGAGAATGACTTGGAATGAAACAGGTGCCATGAATGAATGAAAATTCATTTCATTTCATTCACGGTAGTTAAGCAGGAACTTCTATGGTACATGCCAGGTTTTACATGATGTAAATGGCAGCTACTAGTGCGCGTCAAATTTAGCGGTCTTGGTTCTGCGAGGTGGACAATCAGTTTCTGTATGGATGGTAAGATAGCCGCAGAACATACCTTCATTGGGGGTGGAAGCAGTCTTTGAGGACATTGTGGCTTGAGCACAGGAACGAGCTGATTGAAGGAAGGAGATCGGACAAGATAAAGACTAGATTACTGCGGTGTGTTGTTGTTTGACTCAAAGCCCATAGTGCGGTGTGTTGTTGTTTGCGCTCAATGGTCACATGATCGCGTGACCATGTTGAAAACTTTGTTTGAAGTTCGTTTACACGCCGCCCATCCACTACCTCTTTACATTTCTCACCACACACCACGCCATGCCAGCCAGCTTCGTTCCACGCACCGCCACCCTCGACGCAGCGATCGAGAAGTTTCACAATGCCTTCGTAAACATGTTGGTGGGGAAGACGGATGGGGCGAAGTTCGTGAACAAGTCCGATATGTTCGTGGTGTTGAAGGCCGCGGTGAGTAACGAGTTTCTTTGCATGCAGCGAAGTACTGATGAGACTGTTATGCTACAGCATGAAGTTAACAACGAGCTCGCGAGATGCGATGTGGAGACGCCCACCTACGACCCCCTCCTCGCCGAATTGAAGAACATGATGCCGCTGTACGAGCACCCATCTGGCAACGTCCCCTTCCAAGAAGTTTGTCAGTCTTGCCCGACAGTGCATCCCCCCATCCATCGCGCAGAGGCTTGATCTCCCTCCTACAACGGACCTTGAGCTCATCACTGGCGGCATGACGAAACCCAAGGACTCGACCGCTAAAACCGCCACCACGAAGCCCGTCACCGCCAAAACCACCACCGCCAATCCTCCTGCGACGACCAAGCCTGCGACCAAGCCAGACGTCGCCACCAAACGAACGACCGCCACCGCAGCGAAAAGTACGAACGCCGCCGGAGCAAAGGTTACGAACGCCGCCGGGGGGAAGAAAGTTAACGCCGCCGGGGTGAAGTCCATCCCCATGATCGAAGCTCGGAATGTGGTGAGGAAAGCCGTCACCTACCTCTCGGTGGATGAGGACGAGAGTAGTGGAGAGGAAAAGCAGGAAGAGGAAGAGGAGAGTGGACAGGAAGAGGAGGAGGAAGAGGAAGCGGAAGTTGTGAGTGCGAGGCCCACACGTCGAAGGGTGGTGAAGAGCGCGGCGGTCATCACGGATGAAATGGAGGAGGACGAGGGGATCACTTGGTCTCTGGCGGATCGAAGACAGGCTGAACGAGACGCGGCGTGGTCTGGCCCCGATCCCAAAGACCCTTGTTCCAACAACGACACCAAAGATATCCGGTATTGGCAATTCTATTGGGGCCCATACAGCACCCCCCTCGCGAAGCCCAGTCCGATTTCCAGGGAGGACCTTCCCAACCGACGCCTCAACCCCATCGACAAGGAAGGCCTTGGAAAATACGTGTTGGCGGACGTTTACGACACCCCATGCATCCAATGCGCCGGCGGGAAGAACACACCAGCCAAGCCTTGCGTCATGGTCGGGTGCAAGCCCGTTCCCTTGGCAACGACGGAGGCGGAGGAGGAAAAGGAGAGGGCTGCCGCATGTGCGAGCTGCAGGCATCACAAAAGGAGATGCGAGGGCCGCAGCCGAGGTCGTTCACGCCAGATCGTCCTCAACCCATTCAACAAGTTTAACCAGCCGGTCAAAGGGAATGGGAAGGCCAAGGTGAAGACAGAGAAGGTTACCCCGGCGGCAAAGACGCGGGCCGCACGTTGTCCGGCGGTGGACGATGTGCTCCCTGAAGGTGAGCAATTTCTTTTTTTTACTGGCTACCTTTTGACATTGTATTAGCTGACGAGACGGAGGCGGTGACCTCGGCGGGCAAGACAGGTCGTTCACGGAGGCCGGCGGTGGAGGAAGACCTCCCCAATGGTCAGTTTTCTGTTCACCTTGCATCGCTAGACTCACTGCATGATCATTAGGCAAACTTGAAACGAGGATGGCGGCAATGGAGAAGACTTGCCAGGGTCTCGCCAAAAAGATTGGCGACTTGGACACGACCATGCGGAGGCTCCTCAAGAACAGCTCCGAAAAATTGACACTGGACATACACAAGCTCGAGCAGGCGCACAAGTCCACGAAGGCCTACGTTGAGCAAAAGACGTGCACCGCCATGGAGGCACTGGAAGAGTTGGGTAACGCCGTCCATCAGACATTGGAGAACATGGTGAACATCTTGGATGAAGTACCAGAGGAGGTGCGGGATGCGTTGCAGGAGTTGGGTGAGAGCGCCGCCGGGGACGATACGGAGTCTGCCTTGCATGACATACGGGCCACGCAAGCAAGGTGGGCAGACCTCGCCAACCTGGTTGAGATGTTGATACCCAAATCGATGGGAGGGAACGCGGTAGCAAGTGCATCCCACACCCCCACCCCTCCCCAACATGCCCCCCTCCTCCCATCGGCCATCGTGCCGCAACACACTGTGGACGCCAACCCGGCGGCGACAATTGCGGACATTACCCCGGCGGCGACAATTGCGGACGCCGCACCGTCGGAGAGTCCGATGCCAAATGATGAGAAGGTCGACATCGAAATGACAGAGGCCGAGCCAGTCGACGACAATGAAGAGCATGCATCTGGGGAACCTGAAGACGAACCCACCCCCATGCAACAGGATGACAGCGAGATTGGGCTGAACAAGGAGCGACTGGTAGCTACCACTTACATCATGTACTCCTGAGCTGTACCATAGAAGTTCCTGCTTAGCTACCATGAATGAAATGAAATGAATTTTCATTCATTCATGGCACCTGTTTCATTCTAGATAATTTATTCTGTTTCATTCATTCCTGGTGACTGTTTCATTTTTTTATTTCATTCCACCATGGCAACTGTTTCATTCCTTGCTTCATTCTTCACAGGTGCCTATTTCATTGTTAGAGCTGTGAAAATGATTATGTAATTGATACAAAATATTTAAATGCCTTATTTGGCAACAGCATGCCTATCTTGTTGTGTATTTGAGCCTCAAATGCAAAAGTACCCCCATATGGCCTCCCACCCCACTGCAGTAGGGCACAACACATATCAGGTATAATTGTATATTGTTTCCTTATTTAGATGTGTATTAAAACATCGAAATTGTTGCCTGAAAGAATGAAACAAAAATGAAATAACTGCCTGGAAAGAATGAAATGAAAATTCCATGGCAATGAATGAAAAAAAAAATGAAACAGTCGCCAGGAATGAATGAAATGGAAGAATAAAGCAAAAAATGAAACAGTTGCCATGGTGGAATGAAATAAAAAAATGAAACAGTTGCCAGGAATGAATGAAACAGAATAAATTTCATTCTTGTCAGTAGAAATGAAGAAAAAATTGAAATGAAATGAAATGAAACAAAAAGTATTTCATTCTCCACGGCAATGAATTAGAATGACTTGGAATGAAACAGTTGCCATGAATGAATGAAAATTCATTTCATTTCATTCACGGTAGCTAAGCAGGAACTTCTATGGTACATGCCAGGTTTTACATGATGTAAATGGCAGCTACTAGTGAAGGAGCCCTCCGGCGGCGTTGATGGAGGCCGCGATGAACAAGCCGATGAACAACCCGCCAAACGCAAGCTAGAAGACCATGCCGACGATGGTCCGACCGACAAGAAAAAGAAGAAGGCAGCGCCGGCGAAGAAGAAAGGTGGCCGCAGGAAGGGTCGTGGTAAGGCGGCTGACAGCGAACCTGTGGCCGCAGAGCAAGACGACGTAGATGCGGAGGGCGAAGAGGTTGAGGCTTAGTTTTTCTTTGCGGGGGGTCAAATGTTTCATCTTGGGTCTCGGCGTCCACCTCTCCTTTTATTTTGTGCATACATCTCTATACTTGTCAATTTTTGCAAGTATCAATAATATCAATCTGAAATGGCGGTCAAGTTGGGATTTTGGTGATTACAACACAATGCAATCAACTATAGCAACTGTTTATTAATTACTTCCTGGCCTCCCTCTCCTTTTCTAAACGAAGTTGGGCCGGCGGCGCGAAGTTGAACTTGGGCTTGAGCGTACGGCCAGACTTTCTCACAATGAAGAGACTGTCCTCCCTGTCCCTCTGTTCTGCCTGTGTTTCATTGTCAGCTTGAGCTTTCTTTTTCACAGGTTTTGGTTTAGGCCTGGCTCTGCTCCATTCAGGTGCGGCGTTGCCACCGCCGGTGCTGTTTGTGCTCCCCATGACCAGTGCGGCGTGACCTCCGCCGGTGTCAGGTTGATCTAAGTCCTCCAAGTCCAAATCGTCCCTGTCCCGCTGACCTCCCTGTGTTTCGTCAACAGAATGAGCAGTTTGGGCATTCTTCCTCAAGGGCTTCGCCTTAGGCTTGGGTCCCCTAGCCAAAGGCGCGGCCTTAGGCCCGCCGACTGCCTCGTCATCACCGCTCACTACTGCAGGTGCCCGCTTTGCTTTCTTTCTTCCTTTTGGGGGTAACGACTCATCACCGCCGGCCTCATCATCAGTGCTCCTCACTACTGCGGGTGCCCTCCTTGCTTTCTTTCTTCCTTTCTTTTTGCCAAGTCTGGGGGGTAGGGATTGATGATTTTCATATGCCGGCTCAGGTGACATATTCACGAGTGACCTCTGCAATCTAAGGGTTTTTGTTCCTCGGCCTTTACGTCCTCCATCGTCCGTAGACACATCAGACGAGCAGTCTTCCCCTGTCGATGGAGTCATTTTCTTCTTCCTCTGTTTGCCTTTTTCTAACGGTGGGTCAGATTCAGGTTCATCTAATGAAGGAAGATGTCCCTCAGCAACAGCCCCTGGCCGCAAGAGGTTCACTTCACCGTTGCCCGGCGGCCTGTCTGGCGTTGGCACTGGCGGCCTACATGGTAGAGTTTGTCCCATGCTATGCATACCCTCATCAGCTGGAATTTGTACTTGAGGGAGGGGAGCTGCCATTGGGGTGACGTCACTGCAGCCCGGCGGCGTCCCGCGTGAAGTATGCCGCCGGTGTTCCTGGGTCTGAGTCGGTGTTGGTGGGATCGCCGCCGGTGGCGAGATTACCGCCGGTGTAAATGTAGGATAAACAGCGGCTTGAAGGCCCTCTGAATGGATGTAGAAGTTGAATCTGAAGGTATGGGAAGCTCCACCCTGTGCTTGTCGATGTCTCCACAATGTCACAATCTTCCGGCAATCCCCAAGAACAATTCTGCTGGGGTCCTGGACGACAACCCCAGATGGCCACATGTCGGAGTCCCACAATCTAGATTGATGAATTGTTATTGCTCTCCAGGGAGTCGTTATTAACTCTTTCCCGCAAGCAAGTTGATAATGAAGAGCCATGAATTCCCGAATCATCAGTTGTAATGTGTCTGTCTTTTCATGACTGGCCGCCGGGGCACACGGCAACAAGGGGAATTGACCGTCCATTTGAAATTTCATTTTCTTCTTCTTTCGGGTGGTGTATTTGTTTGCATCCCCAAACACACCTGTTTTGAGTACTGGACATTCAATAAGATATGATATTCCTTGAGGAAATGTAGATTGTGCACCTTGAATATGTTCACAGTATGTCGCCCATGCTTCACAAATACCCTTGACTTCATTAGGAAACATGCTTTCAAAAGTGGGGGTGCCGGCGGGGCCAAACTCGGGATTGTGATCAATGAACATCCAATTGCAATCACCCTTGTTGTTATAGTGTGTTATCAAACCCCAGCTAACAAGCCCCAATTGATAGCTTTTGACCTTTTCCATCTCACGGACCATCTTGTAGCCCGCTCGAGCAAAAAGTCTGGTTGGAACGGCCGGCGGTCAGAACAGCCTGGCGGTCATCAGTGTCCAGCCGCATGACTTACTTTGATTGGATCTCAGCGGGTGGTGGCTCATTGGTCCATTGGTCAGCCATTGTCTTATATTCTACTTTCTCGGATGCTGAGAGGTTATCCAGAAGGAATTTCAATCCTTGTTGATATTTTGAAAGAAACCCCCTTGACCCCGGCGGTGCGCCCCCAGCTAACTCGGTCACCTTTGAGTAGAGTTCATCTTGTTTGACATGGGCAACCACATATTTCAGTGAAATGGATTTAACATATCCAAATTGTCGGACGTGCGGCCGCCGGCCATGGTTGTAATACCATTCCTTCACTTTCTGCTTTGTCGGTCAGACATTTGTTTCTGCAAGCCGGCACAACCCACTTACCCTTTTCCTAATCCTCCATTGTTCTCCATCAAGCTCTGGTCCGACCGACTTAATCAATCGATATATCTTGAACATCAACAATTGTTTACGCTCTTCTTTGCTTTTGGATCTGAAGTCCTCCAGATATTCCCTCAAAACCTTCTGTTCCGCTGGCGAAAAGTTTTCACGGCCTTTCTCTAGTTGTGGGCGCTGACCGCTATTGCGGGGAACATCGCGGGATGGCATCGAGGAAAGCAGTATGACGGGGAAAGCAGGAAACAACCTATGAAAATGTGTTCGGCAATGAGGAAAGCTCGGTTACTTTAGTTGTCCCCGGGCAGGACGCCATCAAAGATGTACTTTGTGCCTGGGACATTTCCCAACTGAGGTGATGCGCATGGTGCACAGACCCTCCGCCGGACCCTGAATCCCGAGCCAACCCGAAGAACGACGACGCACTCTGCCAATTTCTATCCGTGTAACCCCTAAGCCAGCCAAATGATCAACCTACATGCCCTGTTAATAATCATGAAGAAAGATTTCAGGGAAAGCCTGTTCTCCTAAGGTTACTCATAAAGGGTCCTTTTATGCACTGAATCTCTATGAAACCTTGACTCCATGGTACCATCACAACCAAAATCGTTCACACTTTTTTTTGTCCTGAACGATTGTGTGTCGGGCCTACCTTGTTCAAACCGTGCTTTCTGCAGTGTTTTAACGATGTCCTTTATGTAGGCTGAGAGCCACTACCCCACTCTGCGGCATGCAAACACCTGACACCGAGGAGCATTTCAGCAGAGAAATCATCATGACGATTTGTCCCTCTGGGAAACTCATCGTCGGGCCCACCTGGTTCGAAAGCAGTCTCTATAAGCTGGTTACTGGTGGTTTTTATATGACTTGGCGATTATTAGGCCAGCCTGAGGATGTGAAAGGAAAGGTGCAAACATGGTGGAAACTTGTCACATAAAGAAACGGGTCTGTAATGTCACCGTAACTGAGTGGTTAAACGCTGATGATGACGACAGAGTGGTATGGTCAGTTCCAGGGGTCAAATCCCACACGGCGATCTTCCCATTGTCCCGAAGTCTTGTTTGGCCGCAGAGGTGCAGGCCGCCGGGGGGTACATAAAATGCTGCAATTGAACGTGGTTTCTAACGTCACCGTGACTGAGTGGTTAAATGCTGATGAGTGCACCAGCGTTATGGTCAGTTCCAGGGTTCGAATCCCACAAGGTGATCTCCCACTGGTGCCATAGTCTTTTTTTGCCATGTGATGCGCAAGGCATCAAGCGCCGCCGGTGGTCACATGTCTGGGTGCACAGCCACACACCGACGGAGGTCTCAGGCATCAATATGGAGCTATCTCTTCCATCGATTTCAACATGCATCGAATTAAGATCAAGCCCAACCACCGACAAGGACCTGTTAGAATGGAAGTAACACTTCAGAACACATCTCGTGGCCAGGTTCAAAAGTTCAAATACTTTCCAACCACAGACAGAACATCCACCGTGGAAACAAGGGAAGAGAACATTGAATCTAACATGGATGCGGGACAGGCCTACGCAGAATTTGCTGATCAAGTTGACGAGTCTATTCCCTTGCACAGGAGGACCACAGGAAAGGTTAGTCAGGAATGTTTTTAGTATGGTTGACACTGAAAACAAATCAGACCCAAAATGACTATCTTCAGGATTGGAAAGGACTTCGCGATAGCCATCTTCATGTGATGCTTGACGCTGAAGCCCCTGGCACCACCATGAGCTGTATGGAGTGTGGCCGACCAAACGGGGTCATTCGTTGTCTTGACTGTTCCGCTTCCCCCTTGTTTTGCCGGTCGTGCTGCCGCAGTTCACATAAAAGGCTCCACACACATCGTGTTCAGTGTTGGAATGGTAAATACTTTCGAACAAGTGCTCTCTGGGAATCTGGTTTGGTTTGCAACTTGGGGCATGGAGGGCTCCCATGCCCTGGATTAGCACTTGCAGAGGAAGAGGAGAATATCAGGCAAGACGCTGAATGGGACCGAAGTTTGATGAGTGAGCCAACTGGACCGTCGGTGCCTCATGCGGCATCAGGAGACAGGCCAGCTATGCCGCCGGGCGTACATACACCCGCCGGTATGACTGACAGCCCTGCGCCGGCGGTGTCCGATGCAGCCGCAGTTCAAGACGCCCCGCCGGACCTTGATATGCAGATGAACGCCGCAGCTCAAGATATGTTTGAGGATGAGTATGCAACACCGGACCATGATAGCGGCTATGATTCCGATGCTATTGATGTTATGGAAGATAATGAGGTGCCCGACGGTGATAGTGGAAATGACAATGATGACAGGGATGACCGCTTTACTCAGGAACACTACAAAAGAATGCAAGGCATGGCTACTCCCCCTCACCCGAATGGTGAGGATGCCCTAGGAAATCCATTTGTCACATTTATTGAAACAAACGGTGTGCATCATCTTCCCATTCACTACTGCATTTGCCCCTCTGCAAGACCCCACGATGAACAGCTATTTGCGGCGAAGCTTTTTCCCACCTCCTTTTCTTCCATCAAGACCGTCTTCACATTTAACGTGTTGGACGACTTCCGTATGACCAACCTATCTTGCAAAAGCTCCTGCTACCAATATTATCTGAAGCTCCGGCGGCTGACATCACCGGCCTTCCCCAACTCCGTTCCAAATCGATACCATGAACTTCTCAGAGTGAGCCGACAATGGAGGAATTTGGAATTAAGAAAGTCTTTTGGATTTGGCCACCATGACAACCCCCCTGAGAGGGGAGAGATGGCTCATGGATGTGCCTCCTGCCCCCAGCCCGGAGTAAACTTACCGGAAAACTGGAAAAGCGATCCACATCAGTTAGTTGCATAAATTATTCAGACATTGACGGAACTAACACTCAGTACTCAAGAGAGGTATTTACACGATTTATTTGTGTGGATGGAAATTTCTCGGCAGATCACTTGAAGCAGAAGAATCCATTGGATGATGTACCATTGACAAACGGGGAGGGTATGATGACCAATCAAGCTAGATATAAAGCATATCTGGCACATCCGGTGCCAATACGCCAAGTAAGTGTGGTGTATTTGATGGCCGGCGGGGATTCTGGCCGGCGGTGGAATTCATTGCGAGGCCGGCGGCTAACTACATTGTTTGACAGACAAAGTCAACATGCAGCAATCACCAGGCGGTGAATAATGCAAGTCAAAATCATGCGGGATGTGACGCTACTGGTATCGCCGCTTTTGCTTGTGCTCGTTCTGGTGCCTTCATCCCGGGAAGTGTGGTTGACTTTCAGAAGGGGGAGAGGCAGATGAACATTGACTATGCATTATGCGAAGCCCTTAAAACCATGGCCGTGGAAGATGGGGCTAAGGTCATGGTCATTTATGATGTCATGTGCCAATACCACATTCATCTCTGGGAAAGAATCAACCAAAATCCATTTCTTTCCTTGCCAGAAAAGGTCCAGTTATTCATGGCTATTGGGCTCTTTCATGTCCATGGCCATCAAGACTCGTGCCTCTTCCGATTTGCAACTTCTTTTATTCCAGGTGCAGGAATGGTTGATGGAGAGATCTTGGAGTCTTTGTGGGCACAGCTGAATGACATATCACGAAGCACTCGAAGTTCAACTCTGGCTCACAGGACGGAGGTTTTGGATGACCACATGAACTACAGCAACTGGAATAAGATGGTCAACATTGTCTCTTTTGTCATCACGAAATTTAACAAGTCCGTGATTGGATTGGTGGATAGCAAAGATTATTTCGACCGATTAAAGACTTCAGCTCTGGCCAACGACATTGACAACTGGACAAACGAGATTCGGAGAGCAGAGTGGGAACGGGAAAGAGAAAACCTGGAGGCCATGGATATAATGGCACCGGTCCGACCGAAGAATGAGGAAGGCATGTATATGTTTTCAAGTCTTTGTGATTTAACATCATGGCCGCCAGCGGGCACCTTCGTCAACCGAAGACTGCACCCCGGCGGCCATGGGAACTGACAATCTCTCTATAGCCTTGAAGACGACTGCTGATGTGCAACTCACTTTAATGGAACAAGAGACGATGTCTAGGGGAGAAGCAGGTCAGACTTCTTGGATTGCTACAGGTCTCAAAATTGAGGAAACACAGTAAGTCCAGGTCTCAGAATTGAGCAATCGCCTCAAATACTTTAACTCTTTTCAATAGGATGGAACTTAGGTTGCTTATTCGTAGGCTTGGTCGTTATCTAACTACAAGTCAAAAGGTGGATCTGGCTAAACGCCGGGAGCGACTGCGGGCCAGAGTGGATGCTTTTAATCGAACTGCCATGAACTTCTTGGGGAGAAACATCCTACAAACCATTTCAGAAAATGTCACTCTATTCTCTGAAGAGTTTGATATGGACGACGTGATTGAAATTGATGATCCCCTTCCCATGGACAATGTCGAGCAGGGTGCACCACAAGCTTTTTTTGCGGAGGGAGCCCTGGCGGCGGGGATGTCTCCAGCGGAAGTGGCCCTTGCAAAGGCAGCCCGGGCTGCTGCTGCTGCTAGATCAGCGACTGAAGCGGTAGAGCATGTAAAAATCGCCCTTCCATCGACTTTGGGAGTTGCGGAACTCAAGGCTCGACAACTGGAGGGGCTTCTGTGGAAGGAGTATGAACTTAGAAAAGGTCAAGCAAATGAGGCTCTACAAGGAGTCCGCGTATCGATCGCCAATCTCTCATTTGAGTATGGAAAGAAGCTTCGAAAGATCAAGAAAAGCAAAGTAAAAAAGACAAGAGCCTGGGCGGGGGTGCTATCCGTTGGAAGGGTCCTTCCACTAGTAGCTGCCATTTACATCATGTAAAACCTGGCATGTACCATAGAAGTTCCTGCTTAGCTACCGTGAATGAAATGAAATGAATTTTCATTCATTCATGGCAACTGTTTCATTCCAAGTCATTCTAATTCATTGCCGTGGAGAATGAAATACTTTTTGTTTCATTTCATTTCATTTCAATTTTTTCTTCATTTCTACTGACAAGAATGAAATTTATTCTGTTTCATTCATTCCTGGCAACTGTTTCATTTTTTTATTTCATTCCACCATGGCAACTGTTTCATTTTTTGCTTTATTCTTCCATTTCATTCATTCCTGGCGACTGTTTCATTTTTTTTTTCATTCATTGCCATGGAATTTTCATTTCATTCTTTCCAGGCAGTTATTTCATTTTTGTTTCATTCTTTCAGGCAACAATTTCGATGTTTTAATACACATCTAAATAAGGAAACAATATACAATTATACCTGATGTGTTGTGCCCTACTGCAGTGGGGTGGGAGGCCATATGGGGGTACTTTTGCATTTGAGGCTCAAATACACAACAAGATAGGCATGCTGTTGCCAAATAAGGCATTTAAATATTTTGTATCAATTACATAATCATTTTCACAGCTCTAACAATGAAATAGGCACCTGTGAAGAATGAAGCAAGGAATGAAACAGTTGCCATGGTGGAATGAAATAAAAAAATGAAACAGTCACCAGGAATGAATGAAACAGAATAAATTATCTAGAATGAAACAGGTGCCATGAATGAATGAAAATTCATTTCATTTCATTCATGGTAGCTAAGCAGGAACTTCTATGGTACAGCTCAGGAGTACATGATGTAAGTGGTAGCTACCAGTCCTCCTTCATCATCACCGTCTGATTTATGCACATGCCGTCGGTGCACTTCGCAAGTTGGGAGACCCCGACAAAGTCGTGGGGTTATTGTACAAGCCGCTGGAGCTGAAGGATATGAAAGTGAACACCTCCGTTGCGGATCCAAACGCCGCTGGCCAAAGGAACATCCGACCAGCTTGGTTTTGGGCGGCAGATTTGTCAGGTGACATGGATGATAATTCTAGGTTGGTGGAATGTGAGTGCACAAAAGCCTCTCCTCGGTCTGTTACCAAGTGCCATTTAGTCCATAGGGTCAACTGGCTTCGGGCGAGGGCACGATATCATCGTTGGCGGGAGGAATTCAACATCACTTCTCATGAAATGGAATGGGTTACTAGGTTTTTCATGCATCAAATGGAGAAGTGGACGATGTGGAAGGACCTAGCCGTTACTGCGGGGAAGCATGGACATGTCTGCTATGCTGAAGCCCAACTTGATATCTGGAGGCGACTTGCTGAAGATGCCAATAAAAGATTTGGGGAAGCAAATAGTCAGTATAAACAGCTCATTCTCCTGTAAAGGACTCTCATCATAATCATGCAATTTGCGGGAACCATACTTTTTTCTTTAATTTGCGGGATGGGGCCCGGCGGCGATGTTGGCCATTTGCTGGTCTCTGCCGGCCAAGCCCCCTTCCACTGTAGTTCCGTCGGTCATATGACTATTAAATTTTGATCACATGTTTTGGGGCCTGGCTATCAAGATTCCGATTAAGATCAATCATCGCCTTTTGCTTCCATTCAACCACCATGCCCGTAGGAAATGGAAAAGGCCAGTGGTGCATATACTACTTCGCTTCACGTTGCAAAGCGGCCTGGAAGGCATTTGAAGATCATAAAGATGACTGGCGAAATGACCCCCAGAAACATCAGTGGTGGACCATAGGGCTCCGTCTAGAGGGAGTGAGTGTCGTTCCATGGCAGACGTTGCAAATATTATCTCATATTTAACACCAGGACAGACTCGCCAAGGCAATTGGTTATCATGTTGCTGCGGGCTTTATCGTCAAGGTGCCCTCTTGGGTCAGCTTTTTCATCCTTCGAACACATCCCCAACAATCGGACCTAGCATCACTACCTCAGCAGGGTCTTCTCGTCGATCCAGCCTACATGGATGATCCTAGTAACATTTTCGCCGCATCCCATGTCGACTGGTGGAACAACCCCGGCGGGCCCCTGACACCCCCGGCGGCATATTCAGAGGAAGAGACAGCTGCATTCCATGACTGGTTGAAATTGGTCGATCAGGTTCGTGTTTATTATCAACATAGTAGCGGCGTTTTTCACATGTAGTTTAGCCTCTCACCGAAGCCCCGCCACCCCCACCTCAAGATATTAACGTGGCCGCTTTGAATGCCCCGGCGGCGCGGATTTTAGATGCTTTCCAGAGTGCTTTGTTAAGGATTGAGCAAGGCCTAGGCACTTGGAGGAATATACGTGATGGTGCCCGATCAGACATACAGTGTTTGGAGCATTTGATGGATGAGGTTCAGCTGGGACAATTGGATCTTACACTCCCACCCAACTTACCAATCCCGAAGGGCCCTTGGAGGAGCATCCCACCGATGAGAAGTCGCTACATATTCCGGTATACAACCTTTGCGAGGGACAATACGTCTTCAGTGGGCAGCGACAGTTCTGTGGTACCTCCCGCAGATATGGTCACCAAACCCACGTGTCCGACGGCAGACGTCACCGAGATTGGTTGGCCGCCGGGGCACCCAAGTGACCTATCTCCGTTGGACAATACCAGAGATGATTACTTTCCATCACCTGTATCATCTACAGGCCTTGACTGGGAATTCTCTGAAGAGGGCTCTGATCATGAGTCTTCCATCGACTTTGGGATGAGTGAATACTGCGAAGACGTTACTTGTTCCAATAGTGGATCAGAGTAAATCTTGCCACCGGCGGCGAGCCACTGACTGATTACAGTATCTGGTGAATGGCAGGTTACATTAGCTTACTGTCCTATATAGAGCCTAACGACTTTTGTATCAATCGTTTACTGTTCTACGTAGAGCCTAACAACTTTGAAATGACGGCTTGGTTAGGCATCATACATACAACAATTCATCCATGTCCCCGCCGGGATGCCTAATCGTTCTTGTACTTTGTTCCGCATGTAATATGCAATGCAAGCTCTCTCCCCGCCTTCAAATTCAGCAGCATGTCGGACGACTTTCCCTGCTATAGCGATTATGGTTCCGGGATTGTACCCTACTGTTAACCCCAAGCCTGGGAAGGTCATGACCCCGACAGAGTCATCTTCTCCCAATGCGACCACGAAGTCAAGCCATTCATTTCTACCTTTGGTATCGCGATGCGCGGGGGTATTTCGGTTGGTTATGACCGACAGTGCAGTGAATGGGGAAGTCCAAACTTTCAAAGCCCGGACAAGTTGTTCCTCATTGTCCACAAATTTGCCGCCCTCGGAAGAAAGAAGTGTCAGCGCCTCAAGGCCTTGTTGATACAACTGGGGATGAGTAATTCCGAGTATCGATCCAATAAGGGCAGAGGATTCTTGCATCTCACTCGCCCAGTGTCCTCCGGCGGCGTCATCTTTCATTTGTGCCCCAACTTCCAACTTGAACATCATTGACTACACTCTTAATGAAATCAGACTACTAATTAGTGGCGGGGAACACACCTCATGCCCTTGCTGAAACCAGGCGGGGGATATGCTGACTGTCCCCGGCTTGAGTTTGCAGAGATTGGGATCACGAAAATTCTTTGAGTTTTGCCTCCAGTTTTTGGTACGATTATCCATTTTAAGGGCTGGTTCCAGGATCTTGAGTAATTTCCAAATGGCGTCCTGCAACTAATATCAGTTGTGATAATCAGACGCGCCGCCGCGTAGAGCTTACTTGTCGCCCGGCGGTGAGTATATTCGGCAGATACCAAACGAGGGCGTTGCGGTGCATATCGGTCACAACAAATGGCTTCATTGCATGATGTGGAGGATTGTAGATAGGTGGGTATCTTTCTGCAACTTTCGTTTCAGCGGCTGGCTGCAACCCATTCATTGCGGCCCCTATAATGTCACAATACCGAGTGGCATCCCATGATGTCTGAACTGGGTGGCCTTAGAACATACGATAGAATAATAAACCCCTGCGAGTCTCACTGGGATTACAAAATGCTTCGACGAGAATCAAGGCAATACGGTCAACCTCGCTGAGAAGTTCAAGTGTCCAAGGTGTCGGAAATGGCACATGTATCTCATCACCCCGCAGTAGTGCGCGAAACTTTTTTTGTAGATAACCTTCGAATTGTCTTGTTGTATTGAGGAGCCCATTGTCTGGTCTGGACGTCGTATTGCTCATGGTTGAATGGGGGTGAATTAGTGATAGCGTCCGCTAGGCTGCCCAACATGGCCTGGCCTCATGGCAACCTGCAGGTCAGACCCTTATTGTGATTCATCAACGAGTTTGTTTGTCAGTGGTAATGGCTCATATTCATGGCATTTTGCGTACGAATGCAGACCTATCATCATGCGTATCCATTACACTGTGTTTATGGGGGCGCGGCAAATGGCCCCGCCGGGCAAGGCCATTCATTGTAATGTTCCCGGCGGTATTACATGACGCGTTTGGTGAGAAGGACGGCTGCCTCGTGCTAGTGAGTCCCTGTAACGATCCCGGCCCGACCGTTCCTTAAGGCACATCATACCATTCGGGCCGCCCAGCTGGGCCCATGTGGTACGGTGTTTTGTCACCTCCGGCTACTCCATTAGGTAAGGGATAACGTGACTAACATATGTGACTGAGCAGCACCGAATATCGTTTCCGAGAAATAGGAATAAATGTGGATCGTCGTGAATCCGGACGTTCAAAGCTCCTTAAGTGTGCTGCGAGGTTGCGTATCCGACCAGAGGAGTTCAGATATGTTGCGTCGAAAAATGAGGATAGGGTTCGGAATGAAGAGAGCGGCTCAAGTTTCAACGAACTTCAATGTCGAGACGGAATTCCGACTGAAGATGGACAAGCCAAATAACATATGAGCAGAGAGTTAAATAACGTTGCAGCAGTCAGAACCCAAAATACAAAGATTTCAAACTTCAACAAAACCGTTTCCTTCTCCTTCTCCTTTTCCGCCTATCCGCAGCATATAAAACTCCCAGCCTCTTCCCCTTCAAGGCAAGGTCAAAACCGTCTGCATGAACTGATCATAGTTGATCTGAATCCACCCATCCCTATCCGTGTCAATCTTCTGGAACGCCTCACTCAACTGCTTAACAACAACACATGCGCGCACGAAACGGTCGAACGATATTCCAGGGGGTGGGCCACCATGAACAGCCGTTTGGTTCGCTTTAACATCTGCCTAAGTAAGTGTTATGAATGTAAGGAGAGGAAAAAGGGAAGGCACCGTATTTCCTTTGAACGAGGTCGAGGAGTTGTGGAGAGAGGTTGTACCCGAATTGAGCGAGCGCGTCGCGCAGCTCGGGGCCGTCGATGGAGCCTGAGCGGTCTCGGTCGAAATGCCTAAAGACGTTTTGCCAGTCCTGGAGGGAGTGAGGTGAGATGACGTCATTGGGTAACAGGTTCTCGATAACAAACTTTGATGTATTTCCAGAGACCAGCAAACTACAGTGCAGAATGCAATTCAGTCGCAGTAGAAGGAGGAAAGGGGTTGCGCGCACCTCATTGAAAGTGATAGTCCCACTCCGATCCACATCCTACCTCTCTCTGATCAACGACGCCCATAACCGGAACAAAGCAGGGGAGACTCACAAAGATACTCATCAACAACTTTACCGTATCCAGATCAAACGCTAGTAACAGCCACACCACCGCTCAGATTTCAACCGTGAAAGAAAACAAAGCACTCACGCGTCCAATCGCCATTGATCAGCGCCCTCTCTAAATACCATTCGTTCACCCATAATCAGCGCCGGCTCTCTCTATATATATAGATAGATAAACGACGTACCCAGCTCAGGCGCCGTGATAGACCCAGATCGATCGGTATCGACGCTCGTGAACCAGTTCCACAGCCTTTACTCGGAATCAGCTTTGAGGACGAGGAGAAGGACAAGGACGTACTGCGGATCGGCGCCAGGAGGCGGGCCGCGGTGTCCCCCGCCAGGTGGTGCGAAACCTCCTCCATAACCCTGTGTGCAGGAAGGAGAAGCGAGGCAGGGTCAGACGAGGATCCTGATTGCACAGGGATCATAACAAAGACGCACGCTATTAGCTGGAGGGGGCGCCCCATATCCTCCACCATATCCTCCTCCAGGTGGCGCTCCATACCCTCCGCCTGGTGGTGCTCCATATCCTCCTCCTCCAGGTGGTGCTCCATACTGTAGAAGATAATCAGTCCGTGGGCTTATCATTGAGAGATCGACGTACGCCTCCGTAAGACATACTACTCGTTCTCAACTAGGGTTGGTAGTGGTAAAGGGAGAAGGGTTCGGATCCGTAATTGGAGAGGAAAGAGGAAAGGGTTATAAGGAGCACAGCTCTCAGAAAGGCAGTACTATAAATCTCGGCTATTACCGCTCTTTGCCTTGTCTCGTATGCGATGTTTCCAAATGTGCGATTATCAATGAGTAATGCAAGTATGAGTGCGATAAGTAATCCAAATGAGAAGAGCGAGCGATGAGGAAAAAAAAAAGGAAGAAAGGAGAGAAGAATCCCAAAGCCACCCGGAAAGCAGGTCCGAGACCCCAAAATCAAGCACTCGCAACAACACCAGCAGAAATCGGCGGCTGCGACTGCGGCTGCGGCTGGCCCTGTTCCCCCGGCTTTAAATTCTTCTTCCTCCCATTCCCAGTCCCAACACCCACATTCCCCTTCTTCACCGCCTTCTTCGCCCCACCACCTTCTCCCCCATCCCCAGCTGCACTCGCACTGACAGCCGCAGCAACCTGCGGTCCCCTCACCCGCTTCTTCGATCCTCCAGCCCCACCCGATACTTTCACAATCTGACCCAAAGGCCCCATCTTCATCTGTAAAGCGTTGGGAGCGTCGTCTGGGAGCACGAGCTCGATGGCAGGTCGAGCAGGCGCGGCCATGAAGACGTCTTGTGATGATGGTGCCGTAGATTGAGGCGGCGCCGTTGCTTGAGATAGCGTTTCTATGTGGGATGGCAACGTCGCTTGAGACGACTGTCCTTGTGATTGTGATTGTGTCGCCAGTGGAGGCTTGACGTCCACTTGGTGGTCATTCGTCATAGTGGGCAGAGGTGGCAAGGATGGCATCGACAAGCCAGGGAGTGCAGTGGGCCCAGGCAAACTCTGGCCAACAAGCGCAGGCGCAGCAGGCATACTCGGCCCAACAAGTGCAGGCACATTTGGCCCAGCAAGTGCAGGTACACTCGGTCCAGCAATCCCAGGCATCATCGGCCCAGAAAGCCTCGGCGCAATAAAAGGTGGTGGATGCGCAGGCCCAACAGCATCCGCAGCCAGTTTGTCGAATCGACTCTGGTAATATGACCTCAACAACCCAATCTGGTCGTCCACCTTTGAGGACGTCAGCAGGACGAAGGGTGGTGGTGGTGGGTATGGCGGTGGTGGTTCTGTTGGTTTGGCGCTGTGTTATGAAAGAAAGTTAGTCAGTCGATGGGCAGGCAAAAAAGGGAAAAGAAATGATGATAAAGTCAGGAAAAGTCAAAGTGCGCGAAAGTGAAAAGCGGACAAGCAAGGCGGAGTGAGGGGAAAGGTAAGTTCGACGTTCCGCGCAAATTGAAGATGGATTGAAGGAAGAAGGGAAGCTGTCATAACAGATGATTAAGGTGAAAAGGTCGGAAAGATGATTCGAGGGGAGTGCGAAGGAAGGTCCAAGGTCGACAAAGAGTAATCATCCAAAATTCAAAAGAGGGAGGGATTGCAAAGGAAACACAAAAAACACAAAAGCAAGAAAACAAGAAAGGACATACGCAGCAACAACACCCTTCCCCTTCTTCCCCTTCAACAACCTCTTCGGGATACTCAAACTCGACATCCCAAACTCGGCAGCAATACCCAGCTCCCGAAGTCCAAGGTAATCTTCGCCCAACATATCCGCAAAGTCGCCCCTATTCCACACGTCAGTACCACATCCACAAACAAGAGAGGGAAAAGAGGGGGAGATTAACGCACATAGCCAACGCCCCCGTCTCCTCCTCGTCTTCTTCATCGAACAGGCCTTCATCTTCCAGAGTTTCGTTCGCCGTCTATCAAATCAGTAGGCAACGACCTCATCAGAGGGAGGAGAAGGGGACTTACGAGCTCACGATAAGCCCCAACAAGCTTCTTCTCGAGCTCACTTAGCCGTGCGCCGTATCGCTCGACATCATCGGAAATGTATCGTTCTAAATCTTGTACTTTGGAAGAACCGCTCTCAAAGAGGGTGTGGAGGATGATTTCCTGTTGAGTGCAATGGTGAGATGGATGAAAAGAGACTACAAGGGAGGATGGATTCTGGACAGCAGGCTCGGAAGGGGAGAGAAAGAGAAAGGATGGGCAGAAAGGGAGATTGCCTCCGAAAGAAATAGCGGGAAAACAAGGGTCCAGCACGAACAATTACATAAAGAGTGAAACATGGAGCAGAGCTCCATCAACGGCCCATCCTCCAAAGAGACAAGAAGGGAGGATGGATTCTACAGAATAGCCTCCGGAGGGAAAGGGGAGAAATGATGGGCAAAGGGTGCTTGTCTCCGAAACGGCGGTGGGGGAAAAGTCCAGCACGTCCAAATGCACAAAGAGTGCAACACGGGGCAGAGCACCACCAACAACAACTCACCTCTGGCGTCATAGTCTCCGCATACTGGTCCACCAAATATCGGATCGTCCGACCAACATTGAGCAGGTACTCGGAGGTCAAATCCGCAAGGACAGCCAACGCGCTCGCCGATGTGCCTACGAAGAGTTAGCTTGGTGCAGGTAAAGAAGAGACCGGACCCACCCTGAAATCCAACATGCTCCAAAACCTTCTCATTCATCCACTTTATACACTCATGCGCATTTACCTCTCCAATCTCAATTCCACCCTCAAACACCTCCTCCTTCCTCTTTGTCTTTGCCTTTTTCTTTCCCCTCCCCACAACCTTACCCTTACCCTCCATTCTAGCCAACCAAGGCCGCTCATCAATGGTATCACCCTCCACGAGTACATCCTCCTCCACCGCCAACCCCGTCGCAAACCCTCCAAACCCCGTTGTTACTCCAGTCCCAACCCCAACACCCGCATCACCATCCAGCACCGCTTCCTCCCCACCCGTCGTCGTCGTCGTGGTAGCAGCCAACGCAGCAAACTTGGCATGGGTCCCCCTCACCTTCTTCATCGTCTTGATATTCGCATTCATCACGCTCAACAGCGACTTTGGGTTCGTCTGAACCGATACAGTGCGCTGTTTGGGGGGACTAGACGAAGAAGGGGAGATACCCGGCACTCCGTTAGCCACTAACCCCGGTACGGTGTTCCACCATAACTGCGAAGTGTCTTCATCCTCGCCCTCCTCCAATCTCGCGCGTTTCGACGGTCGTGGCGAAGAATCCATCGGACTAGCAGGATCCGTGAAACTCCTCAACTGCTCCAAAACCTTTTCGTCTCCCACAGAAAGCCCTTTGTCAAGCGCCAAAAAGGACGCCATGCCCTCTGGCGTCCTTACAAGTGCAGGCGTCTCCAGAAACGGCGCATCCTTCGCCAATGGCTTGACGCCATTCACTTTAGGGATCGCGCGCCCTGCTTGGTGGTGGTAGTTGTATTGGTGGTTGGGTATCGGAGGGTCCGTACGTTCCTTCCGATCAGTGATGTACCGCAGCAGTTTTTCGGCCTTTATACGCAGTCGGTCAACGCACCCACGGAGGGGGTGGTCCTCCGCCGCGTTGTATTTGTAGCAGTTTGACCAGATCAGTTCGAGGTCGTCCCGGAAGTCGCGTTTTGACTTGTAGGCTTTTTGTTTTACTTTTTTGAGCATTGTTTGAAAATCCATGGGGTTGCTGATGACTGCATGCGTTTAGTCGGTAGTAGGTGGAGTGAGTGGGGAAGAGCCGAACCGTCATAATAGTCTGGCACGTCGACTCTTGAGACGGGTTTGAGGAAGGCTTCGGCGTCGTGGTTGTCCTTTCAAAGGTTAGATATATAACGTTGAGAAAGCGTGAAACAACTCACGATGGTGACCGACCTCAAATCAGCCAAAAGACCTTCAAGCGAATCAAAGAACGGGTCAGATAACTTGCTATCTTGATTCTGCCGCTTTACACCAAGTCAACAACGGACAAAGAACAATGGTGGGAGCGCGTACCCTGGCTTCATTGACGGCAGTAAGCAGAAGCCGGAGATCTCCAGCCGGCTTTACTTGACTTTCCGTAAGAGTACGGAGCAAGTTCTATGAGGAAATTGGCAAGGATTGAAGGCGGTCTGTGGTCACTTACGTTCATCGAAGGTGGTGGTCGAGGTCAAGCGTGATGATGTGCTGACCCTTCAGAACCAAACAATGTGGCTCGTCACGTGTCTAGAGGGAAGTGGAAGCGTCGGGTTGGCGTCGGGGAAGAGTAAAAGAAAAAAAGGCTCAGCTTACGCCTTGTGCGTACAATTTGAAGGGCTTGTAGAGAACTGGAGTAGACGAGCGGACGATTATCATGCTAAGAAAGTGGGGGGAAAGATAAAAGTTCCATTCGCCGAAAGGACTTGGAAAGGACGCCTTATACAAGCCTTATATATGATACAGAAATCACATGAAATTGCATGTACGCGCATATAGCCTGACTGAAACATTGGGGAAGGGTGTAAAAATAGAAAGTAGAAGGGTAGGAAGATGTGCTGTTGGGGGTTTTGTTCGTTTCTGCGAAGATAACTCAGAACACAAATAAACAATACTAATAATGAACTTGCATCATTACCAAATGCTAGAACTCTACGATTCCAGCCCATGGTCCCAAGTGGTGCAGGAAAATCGTTTAAAGTACGCCCGGACGCTTTCTAACGCAGACATCGAATGTCTGGTGTGGGCAGAACTTGATGCGCTGGCGTTCGCCCACTTCGTTCCCACCTGCCTTGGCCCCCTCCAACTACTCGTTGCAGATCAGGATCTCCACGCAGCTTCAACACAAATCACGAAATCTTCTGACTGTCGCCTTTTCTTTGGCTTCAACCCACGTCATGTAGAGTCGATCTTGCTCGATCTAAGCCAGCCGAAAACTTTTCCCCACTCAGTGTGCCTCGAGACGACGATTGCCGCATGTAACCGCACACCCGACGATCCAGATTTCATCTTCATCCACCCTCAGTCACAGTTTTATTTCAACATCCAGGATAAAAGTCGCTCGTTGTCTCTCGTGCCTTTCCCGGACAACATTCGATTCCCTAAGGCTATCTTTCTTCTGGAGATGGTAATGTAGCATCACAATGATATCTGCCGTTTCAGCGTCTTCAAGCTGACTGGTCGACCAATGATTTATGTACTGCATCGTGCAGGGGCTCCCACTGGCTTCCCCCTTTCAATTTCAACTGGGACCAGTCCCAGTCGCAATCAGTGTTATGTACTTAAAGACGACCTTACCTTCACAACACCCCACAAATCCTAACAGTCACCAATGACGACGTTATCACACCTGCCCACCTCCTGCTCATAATCGCTGAAGTCATCCTCCTGTCGCTGTCAGCGACAATCTCGAGGTACCAAGTAGTGAACGGCCCTGGATTATTCGCCGCCCATATTCTTCTCCTTTCCTCTCATCCCGCGCTCATGGGTATCTACGCCCGCTTCGTGCGGCACCGAAATTTCGCATTGATCTCGGAGTTGGTATTTTTCTTAAACGCCCTTTTTGTTTTGAAGGCAGAAGGGTTTTGGTCGGGGGACATCGCCGGTATGCACAGACTGGGATCCCAGACATCGTTCTAATATGTTTTCATCAGCGAATTTGCCTATACTCCTACATGTGTCTTTTGCTCTTATTTTTATTTTTCTCGGAGACATCGTCTACAAGGCGATACTTTCGGGGACAGCGGTGGTCAGGATAACACGCCACTAACATTCGTTGAGATGGCGATGAACCTCTGGAGAGCGCTTGGCCCTCATGTCCTGGGAGTGTTAGGCCATATCGTTGGCTGTCTTCAAGTCATACATGACTACTTCGCCGGTGAAGACGATACGCCGATAGAGGATAGGGGGTTAGCAGGGGAAAATGATACCGAGGTGTTGGACCACACCAACTTGTCATCGGCACTCCCGTCTTCGGAGTCGGTGAGTAAGTTTTTTTCAGTTGCTGATGTATTTCACTTACCGGAACACCAGCGGGGAACCGTTGACTCGGACGAAGCCTAGCCAAGGTTGAGTCCGCTAGACATCGTATGAACTTGTGAGTACCAAATTTTTTCTTAATAGTCCATTTCACTTACCACGTGTTTCAGACACCAAGCCTGCGCCACATTCCTTGAATACCCATTAGAACATTCTTACATGCCCTTAGAATCGTGCTGCAATTGTTTGTGTTTCGAATAGAAGTTAGAAATAAGTCTTGATTTTGACGTCGCAGGAAAGAAGTTTGAGGCGAGTCCAGAATGATGGTGTCCAACGGAGCGAGAACACAGACACAGGGGCACGGGGCGGCGAGGAGGGTTAAGATCTAAGACTCGGCGTATCTCCGTGAAGTGATCCGGCATAGCTCTATGAGTTGTAAATGAACCGGAAAACTTAAAAGAAGATGCACCGCTGAGGCATGTAAATTGCTGTAAAATTCGTAGTACTGAATTTTCTCACCAGGTTACTTATGACCAGAATATGTATTGTACACCTAAGGCATGACAGTTATTAGTGATCGAAGCCTTCTAAGGCCAATTCTTTGGCAATAGGTAATTGGCCTTGAAGACCTCAGTCACTCGGCGTTGCCATCTATAAATAGGTCAGGATCACATCGAGATCTCTACAAAAGTGCCATTCAGCACTGAAAGTGGCGGGAAGCACTACTAGACCGACGGCGGCGCGTTCACTAAAAATAGGCAGTGATTATGATATCGCTTCCTCGCTCCGATCCAAAGGCGGCTTTGATGGCGCTTGCCGTTCTCACCAACTTCTCACTTGCTTCTCCCTAAACACCATGATTGACATTCTATGTTGAGCACTGAGCGCTGAGCTTTGGTTGGGCTCACTGTTGCCCTTTTGTTTCCCTTTTTAAACTCGATACTAATCCATCGCTCAAAATGAGTGGCCCGATCATCGAGGCCACAGCATCCCAAGGCACACGGTCCGTTTGAACAATGGTTCATCTTCATACCTGCATTTTTCCGAGGATGGAGGTACTGCACAGTGGCTCAGCGGGTCGTGTTCGAGCGCCGATATATTTGCATGGCGGCAGGCCCTTTGGTTCGCTTGACAAGTTTGTCGACTTGAAGTGAGTTCATATTGAATTTTGTGACGGCGATAGCTAACGACTGTTTCCATAGATGACTCTACATTCAATTACTTTCCCAAGTATGAGTACGTTCTCCAAAGTCACCCACTCCT